TAAAGCCAACAAATTCAAAAAGGGATCCAAACGTCAACTCATTAAAACACAACAGGCCCGAAGTCACTGAACTCCTTTACCCTTTTCAGAGAATTCTTACTTCATAATCATTTCCTTTTGTTGTTGGTGATCCCATACAGTAACCAAACCCGTCCGCCGTCAGACCATTCTACGTTAGCAACAAACCATAACCCTGGGGCATATGCCCCTTTAGGCCCCCCCGGCCCCTATCCTACCCAAAAACGCCCAGGGGTCTGGGGCACTAAAACAGAAAACAAGCATCAGATCGTCAGCACCATCCTACAGCAATCGAAACCCTAATGCCCTTTAGCGTCGTTTAAACACGTACCGTACCGTCTCGACGGCAAGCACGAATGACCTTGCACCGCGCAAAGCCCTCATGGGGTTTACGCTGCTTATCCATGTACCACCCCAGCCGCAAACACACATTTGGCTAAACTCAATCATTTGGAAAGATGGTGTTTACCGTGGTTGCCCATCTACCACCCTGGTCCGCTCAGCCAGACGCAAGCATCATCTTCCAGCAATCAAAGCCCTCATGATGTCTATCGAACTTTATTCTCGATCGGCCAGACATCATTCGGCAAGATGATGTTTATTATGCGGGTTATCCCAGAAAAAATCTTGTTTGAACCCTATCCCGTCAAAATCAATCAAACAGGATCAGAATCCCCAAACCAAGCCATTCTATCTTGCAACCAAACTATAGGGAATTGTATTCTGTACTGCCCGGCCGGTGATGCTTTGAGCCCTGTAGTGCCAGGACGTCTTGGCAACCTCGCATTTTGTTGTGCCCTGGTTGTCCTTCCATGCGGCTTGCCATGGAATTTGTGAGAGACTTCAAGGCACTTTTAAGCTCATTCGCCAACATAGCAACATTATATATATATATATACAAAAATATCCGCTGACCCCTGGCGACTGCAGGGGGAGCACGTTAGAGAAGAGGGGACAAGCTAGAAAGCAAGAGGCAAGAGCATGCAAGACGAGCAAGAAGCAGGAGCCAGTGCAAGAAGCTAGAAAGCAAGATGCCAGAAGCTACCAGAGGCAGCTAGAAAGCAAGAGGCAAGACCATGCAAGACGAGCAAGAAGCAGGGGCCAGCGCAAGAAGCCAGAAAGCCAGAAAGCACGATGCCAGAGGCTACCAGGTACCAGAGGCTGGAGCTATAGTTTCTTGTCCGTTCAGAAAGCAACGTTAGGCACAGGCAGCCGTTGGCCGAGGGCACGATCCGTCCTTCGGTACCGTGGTGTTTTGCTGTGGCGAGGCCAAGGTTTTGGAAGCTTGAAGGCTGCAATTTGGAGCTAGTTTCTTGCCCGTTCAGAAAGCATAAGAAAGCCACGTTAGGCACAGGCAGCTGCGGGCCGAAGGCCTGGTCCGTCCTTCAGTAGCATTGTTTTGCTGTGGCGAGGCCAAGGTTTTGGGAGTTTGAAGGCTGCAATTTGAGGCCACGTTCGGCACAGGCAGCCGCGGGCCGAAGGCTGGTCCGTCCTTCAGTAGCATTATGTGTCGCTGTGGCGAGGCCAAGGTTTTGGACGCTTGCAGGCTGCAATTTGGATCTAGTTTCTTGTCCGTTCAGACAGCATCAGAAAGCCACGTTAGGCACAGGCAGGCGCGGGCCGAAGGCCTGGTCCATCCTTCAGTAGCATTGGGACCCACCGCTCCTGCACATAAACCTTGCTGTCCAATGTCGCACCCCAAAGTTGCGGGTAATTGCTAACTTGGCGCATCTGAAGGAATGAAACGGACCGCTCATGATGAGATTGAATCTGCTGCTTTTCCCCAACTCCCAGCAAGACCAGAGCCAGCTTAGGAGCAACCTATTTCCTCTGCTTTGACCTGCACAAATATGTCGTCCCACCAGCTGCTATAACATGTCCGTTAACTTTCGCTTCAAACATGACAGTGCAGGCAACCCTCCTGCCAAGGTTGAATCGCAAACAAATGCCAGCCTCTGGGGTCGGCGGGAGGGGGCGTAGCCCCTTTATATACATACATACATATTGCAACATGATATGATGCAGTTGTATGCTTCGAATCTCCTGCCAGGGGCCGAAGGTTGGGAGGTATGTGTGGCCCTTTTTGAACTTGGGGTGCCTCGGAAGATCACCCATTGGCAGGGAAGTGCAGCGTCTTGCTAAGAGCGCGGCAGCCAATATCAAGCGGCACGTGGTGTACGCATCTCAACACAATGTGTGGCTCTCTGCTGTCAGTGATCACAACTCGGTACAGCACCGGCATCAGAGGCTTCTGAGCGTCCTCATCAGGCGTGAGCAACAATCACAATCGCAATCGCAATCACAATCGCAATCACAATCGCAATCACAATTACAAACCATTTTAGTTTATGTGACAAAAGGCCGCACTTCAACCTCAGGATGTCTCACAATGCCTGCCTTCAAATGAGCAAGTTGTTCTTCCATAGGAGTCAGTTCGTTCAACTCTCACCTCACAAATGCAGACAAATACCATACGACAGCACTCAAGTTCAGAGATCTCCCAACTTCTGAAGCCCAGACAGTGCCATCTGCTTGTTTGATTTTGGTTATCTTCACATCCCAGGACCTGAATAATGAATACAGCAGGTCACTGTAGTAATAACCGACAAAATCACACAGCAATGCATACAAATCATACAGCAAAAACACAAAATGCAGAAACAGGTCCCGTTCACAAAGCGTGGGTCTGATCAGGCAGAGAGACATGGCGGAGTTTCTTCTGCTTCCGCCTGCAACACCATGAAGCGTGGAAGTGTGGAACAAACCAAGTATACCAAGTGAGTATGGCAGTATGGTTGAGTATGATATAGAGATATATAGAGTATAGATTGATCATAACCAATCATAACGACACTGTGGACTGGACGTTACTACGTTGCCGCGCCTTGGCTTGCCGAGTCCAGGAAATCTTCAAATGGATCAACTCCGCCGAACAAACTTTGGAAGAGGCTAGTGGCCTCACAAATCCAAATCACATTAGATCACATTAGATCACATTAGATCACATTAGATCACATTAGATCACATTAGATCTCATTAGATCACATTAGATCACCATATTCCCACTCTGGCTACATCTCAATGATGATGTTTCATATCGTTTCATTCCCACCTCTGAGAGTGTGAAATGAGGCGGTGTGAAGCCACGTGCTGCGCGTGGCATCGGACCAGTTGGACCTGCGAATTAGTGCCATCAGAACTGGAGCCGGAACCAATGAGCTGGTACAGCATTGTGGAATACCACCATTGGACCATTGACGGGATCTCTGCTTCAAAATACCACCAGCAACTCCCCAACATCAACTTGAAGATTGATGATGGAAGTGCACGTTATCGGTTCAGCCCCTCAGCAGTTCCGTTTTTCGAACGGGTTTCAGCACGAGCCTGCAGCGTAGCTGTAGCTGGATCTCGGGTCGACCTGATAGCAGTACATTGGATCACAGTAAATACACCGTTGCAACGCCGCATCACCAACAAACCTCGATCATCCTCGATCTATATTGTCGCAATGTTGGAAACCTCAGGGCTTGAAAAGCCCTTCTATAGCCAAAGAGTTTGTTGATGCTATGTTACATGTGCCAATATGTTCGTCACGACACGAATTGAAAGTTGAAAGCCAAATATATCGTGAACACATCAAAATCATCAACAACTGATATCAACTGATATCAACTGATATCAACTGATTACTTTTCACAGAGACCACTGCTGCGAAGCGGGTGGTCTGCGCCCTTCTGTTTCTTGGCCACTTCTCAGGCCAAAGCCGTGGACGCTTTGGTAGGCCTGGTAGGCTTTGCGAAAGGGTTTCCTGGTGACTCTCCAGGCTTTTTGCCCCACCTGCACAAGGAGCATTTGACTACTACAAAGACTACGATCTGCATTGAAATCATTGAACCCAATGCAAAAAGACTGTCCAAACAAACAACACCTTACCAGCTTGCTGCACAGTGTTCAATAGGATTCAATAGGTGGAAGCAAAGCGATTGAGGCACCACTGGAAATCATCATCCTCCCGAACATGTGGCTGTTGCTGAGGAGCAGCCCGTTCCTTGGCTCAAATATGTGGGTTCCGCTTCTATTTCCTGCTGTCCCTTGCATGCTTGTCACTTCCAGCACGCTCTCTGTGCTTTGGGGTTTGGTCCTACTTCCTCTGCGAGTTTCAAAGATTTCCAGCAGCTACTGCCTCTCTCCCCAAAATCCTGCGTTTCAATTTGAATCTGAGTCACGAAGTCATAGTGCTTGCGTTTGTCGGCGCTGCTGAGTATAGAGTATGCCTCTGCAAGTTCTTTGAATTTTTCCTCCGCCTGGCAGCACAAGGAATCGCCTGGAGGTTCAACCAACATGCTCCAAATACTGCTTTGCGATGTTGGGAAGGCGCAACATTCCTCTCACCAGTCCCTTCAAGAGAAATTTGTTTGACAGCATCCAAATGTTGCAAAAGATAGAAAAGTCGCGGAACATGCTGCGTGCTAATAGAATAGTTCTATTTTCTTTAACTGAGATCTTATACGCCTCAAGTTTTTGTTGGATTTTACGCCAACATATATTGCAATTCTCAATCTGAATCACCTGGGCCTGGGGAAGTAATAGTTATCAAACAGCGGAGGAACTAAGAATGTCAAGTCGTGATTGGACAACGGGTACAGGAGGTTTTCAGGCACCATTCTTGGCAGTTCACCTATCCAAATCATTAGCGCCTCCCAACATCGCCAATCTTTAAAGCCCTGTGGCGCCTGCTTGTTCCCAGGATTCTTGTCTGGATGGTACTGCAGGGCAAGCTTTCTGTAGGCCTGTCCAATCATCCAATCAACTCTTTTCATGGTGCTCCAAATGAAAGTCAAAAGAGCCAAATCGAAACGATTGTAACACACACATATATATATATATAATATACATACACATATAGAACATATACACCATACCTTCATAGTATGAACATGGAGACATGTACATAATTCGTTATTCCGCTGGGCTCCGTATCTAAAAGCAATCAGCTTCCAAACTTTATGGTGAAAACCACGGTCTAAAAGTAATCAGCTTCCAAACCACGGGTCAAATTTCTGTGGCTGTCACGGCTATATAAGTCTGTGTGCACGCATTAGCAATCGAAGCATTAAACTGCTTGGCAGGTACCGCCTTCTTGATGTCAGCTTCTGGTGCGTTCACTCCAACGCCCAGAACCTCTCCAGTCGAAATGCAAGGTGGTCCAGGTTCGGCGGTTCAAACTATTTCAAACTACCACAAAAAAAAATCTGCGCACTGCCGTCGGCATCTGAACTTCAGAAGAGCCTCCCTGCTCTGCTTATCATTCCCGGTCCTTGTAGTAGTCTGGTGATGCTTTTGCCATTGGAGGGAATCAGGTACTACTGTTGTGTGAAACTGAACTCAAATGTCCGAACTTCGTAAAGTTGACTGTCTTGTAGAAGATTGTGGAAGTTCTAAGTGTTTGAATTGTTTGACTGTTTTTGGATCTTGAGCCTTCGACAGGCACAGAAGTTTCAAGGGCTCATGAAGTGAAGCTCCTCTTTCGCTGGGATGGTACCTTTCAAGGACCAACATTCCTTGATTCCATGGACAATCTATCGGATTAATGTCAGCCCCTGATTTGTAGCTGGGTTCGCTAGTGTGGCAAGAAATCTCAAAAATATTTAGAGTACATGTACTGAACTGGACCCTCTCATGGTCTATTGGCTTGAAAATTTGTTCAGGTGTTGTTCTTTAAGCAGGGTTTATTAAGAGATTGGATCCTTTAGGAAAGACTTGAAGATTGAAATTAACAATTGCTTTTGTAAAAGGTTTTTCTTTCTTCTCTTGGCTCAAGGATCACCTCAGGAAAAGGTTGCTGCAATTCCGAACCTAGGCAACAAACCTACTACTAAAGTGAACTGGACCCTCTCAGGGTCTAGTGGCTTGAAAATATGTTCAGATGTGATTCTTTAAGAATGGTGTAATAAGAGATTGGATCCTTTAGGAAAGGCAGACAAGCAAGTCTTTTTTCTCCCTCAGAAAAACACATGCTAAAGTTAATTCAGACAAAACAAGCAATATTTGTTCAGAAAAATTGGTCTGCCAAAAAATGTTGCCACAATAGCGAACCAGGTTCGGCATTGCAGCAAACTTTCTCTTTTTGTTTCTCTTATTCTGCCCTTCTTAAATCAGAAACTCGAGGTGCCAAAGGTAATGCAATCAACATGCTGAACCCCATTCACTACAATACAAGTACACCAGTCGACAAAAACATATTTTTAGTATTAATTAGTTTTAAATTGTTGACTTAAATGATCTTAAATGTATGATTGCATCTTGTCCGGGGAACTGTTTTTGAAAACCAACTTTATAGAGGGTATAGTATTTGTTTAGGGAGGGGGGGCTACAGGCAAATCAGGGCGCAACCTTATCGAGACGAACAGCCAACAACTTGCACCAAATCACAATTATCATCAATTGTCAAATTATCAACTCGTTTCAAACATCCCCCTTTGAATTAAGTGAGAGTGTTGGTGTGACAATTTTATAGTGATAATCCGGGAGGCCCTGACCCTCTTTCTGAAAATGCATCTATAGAATCAGAGACCCCAAGGTATTTTCAAGTTGACAATCTCTATAGAATCGATGCCGCCCAGTCACTCTCGTTCATGGTTGGGGGGGTTAGTTGGCCTTCTATAAAATCAGGCTCCCCAAGTCTCCTTCATTGACAGCTGACCTGAATGCTCCAGTTACTCTTGCCTAGCTTGCCTTATGCACTCCCAAATTTATAGAGTTCAAAGGCTCCAAGTGTTCACTGTCAACCCCTTCAATTTTATAGACTTGTGAAAAATGCCTGAAAGATCTTGAAAATCGATCTGTTCTGTTTCTATCCGTTTGCTCTTTTTTAGCGGAAAGGCGGAAAGGCTGGCTCGAGGACTTCGACCCAAAAACGGTGAGACACACTGGGGAGACACAACGGGGAGAAAGAAAGGGGAGACACAACGGGGAGACACAACGGGGAGACACAACGGGAAAATGATGCAAAATGAAAAATGTCACTTTTATAGTTTGTAAACCAGAAAAAGCTGCTCTTGTAAGATATTGAAATGTCAAAATTGTACATATTTGCTGAATATAACTGATGATAACTGATGAAACCCTGATGATAGATCTCCAACAAATCTCCAATATATCCCAAAAGTATCCAAAAGTTTCCAAAAATATGTCAAGATTCCAAATGATTCCAAAATATACAAGGATGATCAAGGATGATGAAGGATGATCAAGGATGATCAAAGAATTGTTGTGGGAAATTGGTTCTGCCAATACTTCTCTATAAAATTGAAGAACATGACATACATCCAAAGAGAACATATCCCACTGTAGAATCGCAGTCCCTAAGACTCTCTGCTGTCTAGTCCTCAGTGCTGTATTCAACATGAAATCTCTATAGAATCAGAGGCCCCAAGGTCCTCTATAAAATTGAAAGCGTTGACACTGGGTAGGTACCCCTTATTAAGTCAGGGGGTTAAAATGCACCATTTTCCAGGACCTAACGTTCCCGATTCTGTAGGGGAAATTCCAAGGGGGATTTTCAAACAACTTTCAGACTGTCAAACTCTTTTTTGCCGCGCTTGCACAAGCGTACCAAGTCTGAAGTTTCCTTCACCTCGGTAGGTTGCTTGAGGTGCACTATTCTGCATGAGAAAATGCAAAGAAGAATGGCTTCGGAATGCACACTACTTTTGAAAGAGCAAAATGCCTACAAATTGAACAAACACATAATACATACTGAAATAATACAGAATCCATCCGGACTCACAGACATGACATTTCCAATAGATTCCCTGAGGCAGCTAAGTGGCTCAGCAGAGTTTTGCAAAAGCAACAGTGGCAACGACAACGAGGAGAAGTTGCACACCAAATGCCACGAAGATACCAACCATCCAGTTCTGCCATTTCAGGTTACAATTTACTCACTTTGTAGCGGGATGAAATTGTTAAATGCTGCCTCACAAATGCCCAATATCAAAAGCATTCAAAAGCCATGATTTCAAAGCGGAGCAATCTGAGAAGGAATCACTCAACATATTGATAAACAAGTCTGCATCCACCGTGTACGCCGCGCTCTCGTATGCACTAATCTCTGTGGAAGGGTCCTGCCATACAGGACTTGCTTGCACGGCATATCAAATGAGATCAAATCAGCATCACTGTGAGTACCAGTGGTTTAAATGTAATTCAATGCCTGCATCCAGTAGAAAAAGATCGGATGATTGGCTCGGATGTTGTAGGCAGCCTGATGCAATGCTGTCGTGCTTTGCTGAAGTAGTGGATGCCCGGTGAACATGCCAGCTTGGAGTACTGCAAAAGCTTTTCGAAACAATGATTGTCCAAAATGCAGTCGGCAAAAAACACGCACACCTCTGCTTGTTGCACTGCCAGTCGGAAGTAGGATCGCAAATCATCCCTCATTAAACGAAGACCCGCGTGCGCTGTTGGGTTGTTGAATTCACCTTATCCGAAAGCAAATCATGCGAATGTCGAAGGTTCAAAAAATCGATTGCAAAGAGCCTGTCTGAATTTTGTGTGCTTTTCTTTTTCTTTGTCAGGAGCCAAGGGCTGAACCACAGTGAAAGTCAGCCACGTGCCCGGAGCAGCAGTTGAGACCTCAATGGATTGCAATGGGAGGAATGTAGTCTGGCTCTGAACAAATTGGAAGATAGCACCGCCAAACTGCTCAAATCATTCTTGACCCTCCTCTTCTGAAATAGGCCATTCAAGGCCATCTAAAACCATCATGGCGGCCATTCAAGGCCATCTAAGGCCATTGCCAACAGCCCAGAAGTCATAGTTGTCCTGCTCGCCGATCGAGATCGGAGCAACGCAATAAGTGTCCATATTCCTGGCGGCGCTGAGGCTGTGAGGTGAAACGACGATGTAGCTTCAAGTCTTCAAACATCTGAAAAACATATCAGTTGAGCATAGCAAATATAATGATATATATAGTATAAGTATATATATATGTATGTATATATATGTATATGTATATGTGTATGTATGTATGTATGTATGTATGTATGTATGTATGTATGTATGTATGTATGTATGTATATATATACGTATATAATCGTGTATATATATATACACTTATAATATATAATATCATATAATCATATTAATCTCAATACAGACACTACAGTATCAATACAGCCAACAGCAACATTGTGCAGCTGCACGCGTGCCATCGCCTGAAGCCCATGGAATGAGTGATGTCGAGCTTTGACTCCGGGACAAAGTGTATACGGCCAGCGTCCATAAGTTGGTTTCCTGCGTTACTAATAAATATATTGATCTGCAAGGCGTTAATCACATATGTTGGTGGATAAATGGAATAAATGGAACAGCAACAAGTTTGTCTTGCTGACTCCTTTGCTTTCTGCCGGATTCACCATATCGTAGTCGTTCATGTTGTTGACGTCCATGAATGGCACCATATTGGTCCTGCTCTGAACGATTGCCCTGACTTCCTCATCAAAACCACATCGCCTGAAGCCTTTGACATGGCCCCATCTAATTTCAAGTAGACACAGACACAACTGCTTAGATATCTTAGATTGTATGAGCAAATCCGTCCTGCTTACTTGCATGCTGGACTTGTGACATGACCATTTCACAGCCTGCCTGTAGTTCATGTTCCCCAGAACGATGGCCAAAGCCAGGTTAGCTCCGCAGCAAAGAAGGAGGAAGAAGTACCAAGTTGACTGTCCATCTTCTCCACTCCTGCATCGCCGCATCAACTCTTCGCTCAAGTTTGGTGAAATAACTCCATCGCGTGATGAACGCTGCCTGAGGTTTTGCAGGGCAGAGTACGCTATCCTCAGTCACAAGTCGATACAAACGCGGAAAAAACAAAAAAATCAACAAGTACTCCCATGCTCACCAGTGCCGGCAATGCTGCCGGTTAAGAACTACCAAATATCTGGGATCCCTGCACTAGCACAACGGCTCCAGCAGCCACTTCTCCACATAGGACGAACTCTGGGTTCTGGTAGTGGATGGTAAGACTGCAAAGGCTATAGACCTGGCCATTGCAGACTTACCGCGCTTCACCGCTGGAGTTTGTCACCCCAAACTCAAAAGCAAACTGTCCTGAAGATCCTGAAGCCAATTCGCAGAATTTCTCACATGCCAGTGCGAACTGATGCGAAGATCAGCCATGGCACAACCAGGCACCTAGCAAACACAGCAACAGCTCGCAGCTGCAGCACAGTCATGATCGTGATTGGAAATATAGCCATGAAACAGGATAATATCTGATAGATCTGGTAGCCTCAAGGAGAATTCGGCCTACATGTACCGGAGACGCAAAGAACTGCGTATTTCTATCCTTTTTTCATCTTTTCATCTTTAAAGTTGACACCTTTCTGAAAACCCAGGATATTCTTTGACGCTGAAAAAGACAACTCCAAGGCACAGCGCCAACGCCGGGAGGTTGATACTTCGCCGCTGAGATCTGCCAAAAGGCGACTTGGTCATGCCTTCGGCAAGAAATGTGGTCCAAGTATGAACAGCGCATGATGCAGATCTGTTCAAGGTTCTACCACTCACGTACAATGCTGAGCACGAATCTGCAGTCATCCATGACAATGCTAAATACATGCTTGCAAGAGGACCACAAGTAGCAATCAAACATCAATGGAATAAGTGTCTATCAAGACGGAATGTGTGGGCAAGTGTGAGACACAGAGGCGATGTTGACCGTACAATCGCAGGCTCAACATACATCAAAACCATTTAGCAAGGCTTTTGAAGCATCTCGTCATATCGATGATACCCTCTGGTAATTTAACATAGCTATTGAACATGGCCATCTTATAGTTGATTTACCTATTTAAAATGGAGATGTTCCATAGTTGTGTTAGTTTACCAGAGAGTAATATTTCGCTAGGACTCCCAGCCGTTCTTGCCCTCAAATCCATAGTTGGGCTGCCTAGGCTTCAAAGTGTCCAAAGCGCATTTATGAAAAAACATATTCCAAATAGTCTTAATATGCTGTGCATAAAAGAGTTCCACAGTAGGATGCAGGCGCTGCGCCGTAACTGTAGCCATCGGATGGGTATCCAGACATGTTGACCTTAGGGGATTCGCAAAGGGTCCAAAGGGTACAAAATGGTACAAAGTTTTATGCGACTTCGCATGGGTCAAATTTTAATCCCCCAGGACCCACACTCTTGTGCCAACTGCGCTGTTCCAGTATTTTGAGGGATATTTGCATCTATAATTTGCTCCGTAGCCAGTCATCATAGCTATACCTACATCTGGCTGTGTGTGGAGCACTGGGAGGCCAGCAATCAATACCGGATCAAACAGTCATCTGCGTGGACAGTGACTTTGAGAAGCCAAAAGCAGCGGCGTACCATGGTGCAGTACGTATACTTGAATCTTCTTGAGACTGCAATGCTTGCACTCTGGACTCCTGCTGTTTTTTTCCTGACCCTCAAGTTGCGCAGGGATCTCAGCTGGGCGTTGAAGGTGAAACCAGATTGACTTTCACTGGACTTTCAGCAGCCTTGGGGTGCTCTAGGGTGCCTGAGGTGCTCGAGGCGAGTGCACGTGCCCGATCTGGAGGATGGATGGGATTCATGACGATGACTGTATCTGCAACGCGAAGCCCAGTGTCCCAGCAGTCGATAAAATGACATGTCGCCTTTTTCAAGAGACCTCCTGTGCTTGGTATGTCGCGCCATGTCGCGCCTTTTGCCTGGATTTGTATTTTGCAACTTGTTGGATGCAGCGCTGCAAGGCTGAGTCCGTGAGGCCACCTAACAAGCCGTTCTGCAACTTGGGATCTCTGGGAAGGCCTGAAGAACTATGAAGATGTTGACTGGCCATTCAAAAGGCTCGCCAGGCATTGCAAATGTGAGGCAGACTGCTTCACTGATGTGGCAAGGACGGGATCCTGAAACTTCAAACAACTATCTACCCATGAGTGGATTGCACCAGCCATCGAAACCAGATTCAGACCTTTCAATGAAGAATATGAAGAAGTCGAGCTGGTAGATGCCAGGAAGCTTGCCACAGGATGTGATATTCGGTGCATGTCCTCCACCTGCTGCAGCAGGCTATGCAAATGATCAAATGCAGCCTGTACAGCTCCCTCCAGTGGATCTTGCCACATACTTGACACGCTCTCTGGAGGGGCTGACGGGCCTGACCGACTCACACGACTCAAGGGGACTGATTTAACAGTAGCACTGGGGCTGTGTGTACTCGTGGGAACGTTGCCCATTGGCGTCTGCGCAAATTCTCCGCTCGTATCCCCTGCCTCACTGGCGCTCTTAGTGTAGAAGCCTCCATGTCCATTTGGCAGGTGAGGTCGCACATGTCCCACATGTCCCACATGTCCCACATCTCTCTGTATATAACCAGGAGATCCCTGGCCCCCAGAAAGGCGTGACCGAATCACAGGAGTTTGATCCGGCATCTCCAGATCAGAGCGTGGCGTTCGTTGCCCACTTGAATCATGGCCCTGCTTGGAGACGCTGAAATTGGAGCCCTTGGCTGGTGATCTGTCTGCGACTCGCTTGGGTGACCTGTCATTCCTATTTGTCGTTTGCCTTTGCAAACTCCGTTTCAACTCTTGGCATTGGAGCTTCAGTTGCGATTCGCGTTTCAGTGCCATTTCCGCGCGGGCTCCAGCAGAGTCGGCCTGCTTTTGCAGCTGAGCTATTTCACCAGCCACGAGTTCAACACGTTTTACCGCCACTTCATAGACTAGCTCAATTCTAGATACTTTGTCTGAGAGTTGAGTGAACTCGGATTCCATGGCGCAGAGCAGAAGTCCTGTTTTTCCAACAACCTCTGCCATTCGAATCGATGCACCCAGTAAGTTGGATGCCAATTTGGGAGTTGCACCTGACATCTCAACAATCTCTGCGCAGTGTTCGATAAAGGTATGGCAGCAATCTGTCAGCAACTTCTCCTTCGACCTGTCTTTCGGTCTCCCTTCGCCTTCCCCTCCTGTCTTCCACTGTTGGAGTCTTTCAGAGACTTGCATAAGAGATGCTTTCCCACAGCGTGTGACTTGCGCCAAATCCCTTGCACTGTCGATTGCATCTACTGCCTGCATCCATTCAGTATAGCTCAAACTTTGTGAAACTGGCAACATCAATTGCTCGCAAAGATCCTGCATGGCTCGCCCTGCCTGGCCCTGAGTGATCTCTTTTCGAGACTGGAGCCGATCTCTTTACGTTTGAAAACCCAAACATACCGACAAGACCTGACGGGAACTGGGTCAAACACCATTGACTGGTCAACTGGTATTGTTTTCACAAAACAATCGTCTCAATCCCTCCTTTGGAAGGACGATGTCATGGTACACCAAAATCTATCATAGGGCAACATGGGGCAACAATTCCAAGATATTCCAAGCGTGAGAGAACAGCACACCACACCGCACAAAAACCTCATGGAGATCTCAACATATCTCAACACCAGCCAGTCAGCAAGCAAGGCTGACAGACACCTCCTTTGGCCATCTACGATGCGCGCGGTTTAGATCTCACGAAGGGTGTGAGGATGTGGAATCACTCATTGACCCAATTCTCCAAGCAGCAATTTACACGCCTAGAGAACTAGCTGCTTTTTGCAACACATCGATGTAGTTTTTTGTGGATGTCTTATTTTGGGTTTTGGAAACAACACTGTGAATGTGACCTTTGTGTATCTAGATTCTCAAATAGAAATCGATCTTGGACTTGTAGCAGCGGTGAAACCTTGAATTCCACTTTGCACAAACTGCTGTTGGCTCAAAACAACGTATTGTGTGATTTGTGCGCAATACATCTGAACTTCTTGATAAGACTGGTCATTCTGCATACTTATCGAGTCTTTGGTTACTTCCAGCTCAATGGTGCCAAGTGGTGCTCTGCCTTAGCACAAAAGATGCAATGTTCAGGCGTCGGCCTCCGGCTTGGCGGTTTGGTCACCAACCTTGCGGTCACCAGGCTGCTCCAGTTGCATCGACTGCAATCGCGTCGATTCATGTTTGCAGACTACAAAAACGAGGCATCTTAGGAATGCACCATACCTCCATCATCAGTGAGGAAGCTCCATATGTTTGGAAGGCCATGCTTTCGCAGGGCATAATCCCTGGAGCACAGACTCAATGACTGTATCTCAGGAGAATCTTCAGGTGCTTGTGCAACATGTGTAACATTGTAAAAAATACTGGAACACAAGTACAGCAGGCTGAGCAGACCCTGTGATCTCGCCCTTCATCTCTCCAACTAAATTCTGCGACTTCCCGAGGGAGTAGTAGTGGAAACAGTGCACCTGCAATTGATTCTGCTTAACGCAAGTAGTCAGAGAAAAGGACAAATCCAATCCAGCGTACTAGCGAAGCAAGCAATCCTATCACTAACTGCAATTGCAAGCAATGCATTGAAACAAATCCGTCATTTCCTTTCGTTTTGAATCCCAACCTCAAACTCGACGCCAAAAATGTTGTGGTAGGGAATCTCGTCAGATGCCAGAAAGGAACCTTCACAAACAATGCAGCGGGAAGAATCCGTCACGCGTTTGTCTGCATCGTTTCAAGAATGAACGTAAGTTGCTTGATTGAAACGTATCTACGTGTTCCTTCCCTTCGCCTCCTTATCTTGGTCAGCATCACCACTATCACAATCAACTCTCGAAAATCAATGACTACAGTTGGTCACCTTTAACGGCTAACCTGCAGAGCTCTTTTTGATTGTAATTAACAGACTTGGAGTGAGATTTGGATTTCATATGCTTCAATATTGAAACTGTCAATGTAAGTCTGACGACCATTGCATGTCCAGCATTTGCAGGGTGACAGGTTGCTGTGGCTGCCGTATGTTTCGGCACAATGCCCCTTTGTAAGGGCCCTTGAGCCGTAGCGAAGCTATGCCTGCGGTGTGACCGCGACTACATCGAGCAGAAGGAAAACAAGGAGATCAGGGAGGACTTCGTGCGCTGCACCCTGGTGATTGTGATTGGTAGCGGAGCCCAACCTGGGCTGGGGCTACCGAGGTGATGAAGGGAGGTCGAGGAGCTGGCCGTGGCCATCAACATCCTGGACAAGGTGAAGGTGATCCCACTGCCGCTGCTGATGCGGCGGGGCCAACACTGGCCAATGGCGCTGGCGAGACTGCGGGTGCCTACTACAAGGGATTGGACTCCGGGTTGGCCAAATCGGCGCCCTCGGCACAGGGTCTGTGCCAACGGACCTACAGAGCTTACAGGCGGCGACTTGAACTTTTCAGTCGGCAATGCCTGAGGCGTGGAAGCGACGTTGCCGTGGAGGGAGCCTTCCCGGTGATGTCGCAGTTGCAGGATTCGGCCTGGGACGCGACGGAGGGCATCGACTATGACGACATCGAGCTCTCCGAGAACCCTTTCCTGCCAATACGGCAGACGCTGGACCTCCTCTACCAGCATGAGGAGGAGGTGGAGCTGCCAGAACGATGCCAAGAGTTCTTCGAGCAGTTCGCGCGGGAGAAGGGCGAGGAGTTGCAGGCCTACATCGTGCGACACCAGACCATGCTGCGGAAGCTGAAGGAGCTGAAGGTGGATGTGCCACCGCTCTTAGCGGGGTGGCACATGCTCAACAGAGCTGGAGTACCTCGGTGGACCCACCCTCAGATCAAGGCCCTTTGCGGTGGAGAACTCAACGTGAAGAATGTGGCCAAGGCGATGACAAGGATGTTCGGTGGAGATAGCAAGCCGAACATGAAGGATTCAGCGCTGAGAGGAAACGACATCAACATGGCCGAGCACTACGAGGACGACTATGACTACGAGACGGAAGAGGCCTACTACCACCACTATGAGGATGAAGAGAACTTCTACGAGGACTATGACGACGTGGACTACGTTGGTGACGATGATGAGCCACCACCCCAAGAAGTTGAAGAAGCAGCCATTGCCACGGAGGAGGCATACATCTCCTACTTGGACAGCAGAAAGAAGATGCGAGAGCTGGCACTGGCACGTGGCTTCTACCCTGTCGTGGCCCTGGACATGGGAGGTCATGGAGAAAAAGGGAAGAAAGGAGGTGGTGGAAAAGGAAAAGGCAAGGGAAAAGGGGGTAAGTCAAGTGGAGCCCCAAAAGGAAAAGGGAAGTCGTTTGTCCCACCTGGCACCAAGCGCTTTGCATTTGGTCGACGAGGACAAGGGCCAGGATCTACAACGACTTCTTCGACATCGGCAAGATCGACGACGAGTGGGAGTACATCCTCACATGGCCCGAGGTTCAAGAGGTATAGATTGCCTGCCTCGGGAATCAAGGAAGTGCCCGACGAGGCGAACATGGTGGAGGAGACTGAGATTGACCTGGACGTCCACTCCAAGATCACGGATGAGATCAACTACAACGACTCCGATGCTGGATGGGCAATCATGGATTCTGGCGCAACACGGACGGTGTGCGGTACCAGAGTCTGGGACAAGTTGGCCGAGTACCTGGTGATGCGGGACCTTATGCACCTTGTGGACACTGTGAACGAGGTGCGAGACTTTCGCTTTGGTGATGGGGTGATCCTACGATCTCAGAGCTCTATGGTGATCCCTGTCTGTGTGGCGAAAGAATGGACAAAGCTCAAGATCCACATCCTTCCAGGCACTACACCACTTCTTCTAGCACGACCTGACCTGGAGAAATGGAATGTGGAGGTGAACTATGGACAACAGAGCATCAAGGTGAACGGCAAGCCAGTGAAGCCTTCGAGGACTTCAAATGGACACTACATGATCAACCTCTTCGACGACCTTCAGGACGTCATGAACGTGACGATGTTGGAGGATGAGGACCCCGAACAGGTGGCCTACATTGGATCAGTCCTGACGGACGATGTCTCCGATCTGGAGATGGACATCGAGGTTGACATGGATGGCACTGGAATGGAGGAAGCTGTTCAACTGGTTTGCAGCAGGCTTCCCAGTTCCGAGCGCAAGATGAAGTTCTGGGAGGTGTACGTCGATGAGGGCAACTTGTCAGCCTTTCTCAACCGGAAGGATGGAGTGGAAGCCCGAGTGTTCAGCCTGCCAGACTGGAACTTTGATCATCGAGCTGAACAGATACGGTTCCTTGACGAGATGGACAGGGAGCAGCCCCTGCACATCATGGTAGCCTTCGAGTGCCGACTGTGGTCACCCATGCAGAATATGAACTACAGGACCGATGAACGAAAGCTTCTCCTTGCAGAGATGCGTGCAGCTGAAGAACGCACTCATCTGCGCTTCTACAACGACATCCACAAGAAAGGCAAGGCCATTGGTTGTGATGTCACCTTGGAGCAACCTGCGGAAGCTATGTCATGGAAGACCACAACTTTGGAATCCATGAGGGGCTACTACGAAACGGTGCTCGACAGATGCCGCACCGGTCTCAAGATCAACCCCAAGGACAAGACCTTCGTCAAGAAGCCTACGAGGTTCAGATCCACTACGAGGATTGTTGCAGAGGCCATGAACAAGGCTTGCAATTGCCCTGGACCTCACCAACAGATGATGGGTCAAGGCAAAGCACTCAAACAGATGCAGAACTACGAGCCTGGCCTGGTCAAAATGTTGGGCGATGCCATCTTCAGTTCGATGGAGATTGCTTGGCGCAATCGTGGCCAAGCGGAACTCATGATGATGGAGATTGTCGAGAAGTCAACGGAGGAGATGAAGTACTTGGAGCAGAACAAAGAGCTCATCAAGATCGCCGGCCCAGAGGCTCTGAAGGCGATCACCCTCCTGCATCGACAACTTGGGCATCCATCGGCACAGAAGCTGGTCGTAGCGGTGAAGCAACGAGACTTCCCCAAGGAGTACGTGCAGGTGGCCAGAAACTACAAGTGCCCCACCTGCTGGAGCAAACAAGAACCAAAAGCTGTCAGGGTCGCAACCTTGAGAAAAGCCCCACACTTCAACCACACCATCGCCATCGACACCTTCTATGTCGAGTGGGATGAGGAGAAGAAGGGCGTCCTGACGGTCTTGGATGAGTACTCTCGCTACGAGATGGACCATGTCATCACAGAGGAGACGGCGGAGGTTGAGATCGCGCTCTTGGAATCTTCCTGGATGCGGTCATTTGGATTTCCGACCCATCTCAGGCTGGATGCAAGTGGCCCACATCAGAGCTCGACTTTTGCTGATTGGGCGAGTCTTCACGGGATGAAGCTGGAATTGATTCCACGTGGAGCTCACCACAGACTTGGCATCCTCGAGCGCAACCATGCAGTGAGGCGCAAACAACTGGAGATCTTCCACAAGGAGATGCCTGACGTTCCCTTTGAACGTGCGCTGTTGGTGACCTGCCATCAACGCAACAGACTGGCATCAGTCTCTGGAGCCTCACCGGCAACCATTGCCTTTGCCTACGTGCCTTCTGAGGGTGGCAATGCTGATGAGCCTGGACCTGAACAATTTGGTGATGAACGAGATCAGGTCAAGAACGCCCTCATCAAGGAGACTGCAGCTGTGGCTTTTCACAAAGCCAATGCCGACCTTGCCATGAGGTCTGCAATCCTTGCTCGTTCCAGAGTGGAGCAGGATGAGCTGTATGTGGGCGATTGGTGTTTCTACTGGAAGCCAGCCACCACGAAACTTGACCCTTTTCGGTGGCGTGGCCCATGCCTGGTTGTGGCGGTGGAGGTGATGCCCGAGCGCACCAGCACCATCTACTGGATCGTCCATGGATCATCATTGGTCCGATGCACTCGAGCTCAACTACGACATGAGACGGTCCCTGAGCGCTTTGAACGCCAAAGCCAACCACCACACCTGGAGCAACTACGACAACCTCTTGCAGGCCGACTTCTTCGAGCTCTCAAACCTGTCCGTGGCCCAGTCCGTGCTGTGGACATCGCTGAGACCAAGCAAGATCCTTTCCAGTATCCTGGGGGGTATGCCCTCGCTGACGCTGCGGGTGACCACCACTTTGACGCCAAGACCCCCACTGACCTCAAGGATGACACACAGAATGCGGACGAGCCGATGGAGGACCAGACCTCAAACAGCCGGTCACCTGAGATGGCCGAAAGCCCAGAGACTGCCTCACATGATGCGAGCCGTCCACCGCGGCGACTGCATCCTATGCCAGAGTACGTGGATCCGGAGCCAGCTGGAATTTGGACTGACCCCGGACCACCCTCTGCGGTGGCTGCTTCTACCTCTACTTCAACAGCTGCAGCCCCGAACAATGAGAACAATGATGATCAGGCAGCTGAAGGGGATGAACAAAGCCCTGAAGAACGCCGTGAACCCAACATCGTCGAGAACCAAGATGAGATGCAACCACAAGGACCTGGCACACAAGCTCAGGCACTGAAGACCTACCACGAGGCTCTTCGAATGGCAAGTGCTGTCTCTGAGGAGCGCAACCGCATCTTGGATGGACTTCCTCCTCGACGACAAGATCGGCAAGATGATGGTCAACCAGCCCCAAAACAACCTAGGCTGGAAGAGCTTCACATGGTTCAGATGACCACTGACGACGAGCTCTTTGCGGTGGTCGAGTCCCGACTTGATGCTGCCGGAAAACAAGCCTTCAAGGAGGCCAAAATCAAGTCTCTGGTGCCCTGGTGCGAAAATGATGCTTGGAGACCGGTCAACCGGACCGAAGCACCAGCTGGGACGATCGTGCCCATGAGATTCCTGCTGCGGTACAAAGATGAAGCACCGCATGCACGGGTGATCCTTCAAGGATTCAAACACCGTGATGTCCTTGAAGCCAAATTGGACACAGAATCCCCGACCTTGTCACGACTTGGCAAGTATCTCCTGATCACCCTGGCCTGCATCCTTCGATGGAAGATTGGGACAATGGATGTCAAATCGGCATTCCTGCAGGCGGACTACATCCACCACAAGGTCGACTTGTACGGGGAGCCCTCGGCAGACATGAGACGCTTGCTGAAGGAGATGATTGGACTCCTTGAGCACCAAGTCATGCAGATGACCAAGCCGGCGTTCGGAGATGTCAGAGCCCCCAAGCAGTGGAATGAGACGGCCGATCGAGCCATCACCAAGGAGGTTGGATTCCTCAAGCATGCCTTGGATGGCTGCCTCTACATGTCCACGCGCTTGGCCAACAAGGAGGACGACCCCTTCCGCGTGTTCAAGCTCAACGGCATGGACTATGTGGTCGATGGCATCCTTGGACTTCATGTGGATGACATCATCGCTGCGGGCGAGTTCTTTCACAAGGCTGAGGACGCTGTGGAACCTCAAGGTGATCCTCAGAACTTTGCAGAGCGAATGCATGTGCTCTTGCACCGGTTCCGATTTGGCGCCGTCAACTACGACGACAACCAGACCTTTTGTGGAGCTCAGATGTCTCAGAGCCTTGACTACTCCCAGGTGAACTTCAGCTTGGAGAAGTACATCAAGCAGCTCAAGCCGCTGACAATCGAGAAGAACCGGAAGGCCAACCCCGAAGAGAAGGCAACTGATCGGGAGGTCAGCCAACTCCGTGGACTTCTGGGAGGAATGGCATGGCCAGCAAACCAGACACAGCCTCATTTGAGTGCTGCGATCAGTTTGGCCCAGGCTACAGTCTCAGGTGCCAAGGTGGCCGACCTCAACGAGGCCAACAAGATCCTGCGCTTCGCCAAGGAGACCGCGGACATCCCTCTGACGATCAGAGCTCATGGCTCACTCAGCCAGCTGCGTTTTGGGTTTTACTCCGATGCCTCCTGGAGTACGCGGCCTGATGGATCGTCGCAGGGTGGGTGGCTTCTGTTTCTGGCCTCCGAGGACCAGATCAATGGCGATCGACCCTTCCCTCTGACGGTGGTCGACTGGGCGAGCAGAAAGCTGCCGAGGATCTGCCGATCTTCCCTGAGCGCAGAGGCACAGATCATGACCACAGCGGTCGACAACCTGGAATGGGCCAAGACCATGTTTGGGCTCATTCTATGGCCTTCTGAAGGCGCTGACAGCGAGCATGTGATGAAGTGGCTTGGAATTTCGCCCTGCATCACAGACGCTCGAGCGCTGTTTGACGCAAGCACTTCAGCGACCCCTGGCATGAAGTTGGCCGAGAAGAGGACAGCAATCGAGATCAAGATCACGGCCGAGCGACTTCAAGCCGCATGTGGCATGATGCGATGGTGCAACTCGCATCAGCAGTTGGCAGACGGAGTCACCAAGTCTGCAGCCAAGACCAAGCTGGCCATGGAGCTTCGACGAGGAGTTCATTGCCTGCGCTACGACCCTGAGTATGTGGCCAGCAAGAAGGTGAAACAAGAAGACAAGGACAAGGAGCAGGAGTTCCTGGACAACGCGGCCAAGGAGATCTACAAGAAACATCAAATCCAGGAGAACGTCTTCCGCACTGAAGACATGGACGAGATCGACAAGGAGGAGGCAAACATTTGCCTGCTGGATGGGTGCTCACTCCCAGCTGAGCACGGCAAGCGCTACTGCACAAAGCGTCACTACCACGCGGCCCAGCACAAGCGCAACAACCCCAAACGAGCTGAGACAGCTCTGGCTACATGGATGGTTTTGACGGCTGCTGCTGCAGTTCCTGGTGCTGATGCCCTGCGATTCACTGAGGAGGGCGTCGTGATCCCCTACATCCAGATCATTGTCATCGTTGTCTTGATCCTGGTGGCGATGATCGCATCCTTCCTGGCCGGCATCAACTACGTCCGGCATCGAGAACATCAAGGTGATCCTGGACTTCCCCGTGACCTACAAGAACCTTTCATCCCGGATGAGGAGAACAACCGTCCACCCTATGAGTGGGACAGTTCCTTCGTGGAGAGTTCAGTGACTTCTGTGCTGAACCGAAGTGGAGAGGAGCCATCATTCTCAACGGATGGACTGGCTCAACCAGAAACTCATGAAGGAGACATCCTCTCCGCGACCAACACACCGAGATTGCCAAATGGCGAGCGAGTGGAGAGCAGCAATGGAGGAGTGGTGTCATGGCTGACACCTGGACAGGTGGTCTACCTCAAGGGGGAGGGCTACTACGTCTACTCCGATGCGGAAGTGAACCAACGAAGGACGGCATTGCAAGAATCGATGCCACCATCAGTAGATGAAGTGATGACACCAGAGCTCATCACGGCTTTGATGCAAGGAACTTTGGCCCCTGAACAACACATGCAGGTGCCACTGGACGCAAGCGACTGGAATGGCGTGCGCCCAGATGAGCGCGCTGAGAGATCCCGAATTTTGGAGGACAGCCTGATCTTAGGCATCGAGATGGAAGAGATGGACAACCAGAGAGATGCAGAAGCTCGAGGACTGAGAGCCCGGCTTAGAACAGTTCGTGAGGTGGAAGCCTCTCTAAGAGAGAGAAACGTTGCTGAAGCCTCTAGGACATAGCGTTTTGATTCTCCAGCTGCAGCCTTTTAAAACCTTTTTCCCCCTGTGTCAATGTAAGTCTGACGACCATTGCATGTCCAGCATTTGCAGGGTGACAGGTTGCTGTGGCTGCCGTATGTTTCGGCACAATGCCCCTTTGTAAGGGCCCTTGAGCCGTAGCGAAGCTATGCCTGCGGTGTGACCGCGACTACATCGAGCAGAAGGAAAACAAGGAGATCAGGGAGGACTTCGTGCGCTGCACCCTGGTGATTGTGAGAAACATATTGAAACTGACCATTTCGCAGGATCAGTAACGACCCTTCAGTTTTGGATGCAGGTCAATGTATGTCAGTGTATTTTTTTGCGTCTGTGAGTTTTGCGTAACTAGTTCTGTGCGGCACGTTCACATCGCTATCGGCCTGTTTGCACGTGCCGCATTACCAAAGGCGCTCCTGCTTGTACCTGGCGGTGACGCCATGGACGGACATAGCAGAATTTGAACCCAGGCTCTGGGCAGGGCACAGGTTCCCCATCCATCTCAAAGCGAGCGGTGGTGTCTGGGTAAAGCGCCTGGAGACAAGAAACACAGCGAAACACAGCCTTGGTTGCCCAAGTTGCCCAGGTTGACACTGTCATGACACTGTCAGTGCTGGAGTCCACAGCAGTCCACCGCCTGCCAAAGAGTTTCCCCGCTGGGAACAGTCAAAGCAGTCACCTCCTGATGCCTGCAGGATCGGACAGTCGGACAGGTTGTTGAAACATGCTGAGAGATCTTGTGAGGATCTGGAAGCATATCTGGTGCAGCCTAGAGCTCGCCTGGAGAATTTGGCAGCAGCCAATCCTGTGACCATCTCACTGTGCAAATAGGCATCGGTCGAGATCCTGGAGGTCCAAACAGTAGTTCCAATGACTCGGGGAAAGTCCCCTCCGGGAACACATCTTTGGGAATATATGTGCGTGTGTTTGTCTGTGGAAGTCTGTGATGAATTCGCTGTCAGCTTAGCTTCTGACTCCGAAAAGGGGCAAAGCTTGATTCGCAGGTTCTGACCATAGTGCAGCACATCGTCGTCGAAGCCTAGAGCAAGGATGGGCAAAGTTTGTAAGGCAACTATCTGCCGAAATGGGTCTGAGCAAACGACCATCACCAGGATCGGCACGCTCGATAAGGAAGACATTCCGCAAGCAGGGGCTCCCAATGGGGCTAGTTGTAATCATGTATGCCTCGAAGCAGGGGAGGAACCCACCAAAAGCCGAGAGGATGACAATCCATGCTATGAATGCAAGATCCTCACAACTAAGGCTTTGGCGGTGTGTGACTTGGTCACTACATCGAAGGGGTTCACACTCCTGGGTCGGGCCGACTCAGTTGCTGGATCCTCCGACCATGTGCAGTCTCTGTACTGTCATCAGTTAAGCTTCTTGGCAAAGTCGTTGATCAAGGTGAACTGCTGTAAGATTACATTAGTGTGCCTTCATTCAGAGTTTGCAGGGTGTCCTGTTGCGTGCCAAATTACAAATTCATTACACTCTCACTTGAAATGTTGACCAGTGTGATAATGAAATGGCATGCTCTAGCATGGTTCAAATTCAATAGTAGCTACATGCACGAAAAGAAATATGCCTGCATGTAAGCATGTATTGGATTCTTTTGCCGAAAAACTGTGAACAAATAGAAACCATACGTACAAAAACAGCGCTGTGAGGACACTTCTCCAGAGTTTAGCATTTATATGGTGTACAATGCATACGGAAATAAATCAACATACATTGACATACATTGTAATTGTTTGACTGTTTGTATATGTACAGTATGTGTTTTGATTTCTACGCAGAAATCCACTGTCCCACACCTTCCTTTGTTTATGTTCGCTGATTGTTGCGCTATATATACACATTTGCCACTTGCACGTTGTTCAGACATATTGGCCAAACACGAACGATGGAGTAGAATCCTCAGGGGTCTGAGTTTATCAAATGTTGCGCAACCGAGCCTGCAAATGCTGAGGGCTTGGCAATGCACCCTTGGATTGGTGGTTCACCAGCATAGCTTTCATGCCGAAGTGAAGCAGACCATCAGATGACGAGGAGAGCTGGCACAGTCACCGAATAGATTCATCGAAAAGTGAAATTGATGAGAGTTCAACAAACCGAAGAAACTGAAGATTGAGGCGGATTCACGCGGTTCTTTTCTGTGTTAAAAAGTTGTGCACCGCCGAGGGAACTGACAAGAAGCCAGACCTCATCCTGCTTTAAGCAAGACTCCAGTTGCTGCTGCCTTGAGAACAACCGCTGAAGCAGCTGAAGCACAAAAGCCCGGGGAAAGCACAACCACAGTTGCCAGTGACTGCCAGTGCAAACACACCATGATAACAACCATAGCCTGATTCAATCCTTTCGAATCCTTTCCCTTTAGCTCTGCCCACACGTGAGCGGACTGCTGTTAAGTAGTTTCTTTATGTTTCTTTTCACCATGTATCTGGGAGTGTCCCTCTGTCCTTCTTGTATTGTTGTGCTGACACGTTTTGAAGTGCGTTGCCGACACAAATCACAAATCTCAGTTCTCTCCAAGCTGCTTCGCAGTGACAATCAAACTACCTGTCTCCTGCATCAGAGGCAAGAAAGGTTCACACGAACCAAAACACATTAAACCTCGAAGTTCAAGGTGACAGAAGCAGTGCAAAACAGTCTCTGGACAACAGAGCATGTCCTTTTTCTTGAGGTAGTCTTTAAGTTTTATCTCTTCAAGTTCCAGGTCCTGTCGGAATCAAGCAAAGAAACTTGAGAAGCAAGATCGTCCCTTTGAGCAGTTGATGTGGTGTTTTGCCCATTTTTGCCCAAAAGAGCAAACAAATGCCAAAGGAAGGGGCCAAACAAAAGGCGGCCAAAGGCAGCGGCCTCGCTCCAGTTTCCAATCCGAGTCTTGTGATTGAACTTTGGTCCACCCGTGAGCTGCTGCGGAGTGAACTGCATCCTGGGGATTTTAAAGCGCACGGCAAGGCCAAAGATTGAGCCACCCAAAACGTCAGTAGCCTATCATAGCAGAGGGATGTGTAAACTTACATACCAGTACGACATGGAGGCTCTATATCTTGTTTTTTGAATATGTTTGTTCTTTTTCGCTCGAAGTTTCATCCGCGTCAACTCTAGAGTTTTGATTCAATTGAAAAAATATCACTGAACTAATCATTCGTGCGCGCGCGCACACACACACATCTTTCTCGCTCGCGCTCTCTCTCTCTCTCTCTGTCCCTTGGCTAGGGCGCCGACTTCTTCCAAGTCAAGGCAAAACTACAACTACAATATGCCCTGAGCCTATCTGCGGTCCAGGAACATCTGGCCCAAATCACTGAAAGGATGGAAACTCTAGAGTTTATTCCCCAAGAACACTCACAACCTGTACGCAAATAACATCCACTCAAAACCTACTATCATACTTGTTGCAAGAAGAGGTCTATTGATTGACCTTCCACCAGTTCAAATCTTTGTGACATGCACATCTGCTTGGCATGCCCGCAACGCTCCTTTTCATCCTTGCGAATCCCGGTCTAGTCCAAGAGTCTTTGGCGCTGCGTATTGTCGGAATCTTTGACGCAGCGATGGCTACATCCAAGCTGGGGTTCAGGTGGGATGTGCTGCCTGGATCACCTGAACAAAGTTCAAACGCTGTCAGTTTCAATTATAGACATTGCTAAGTTTCATTCATAATTTATTGGACTACAAATTTACAAGACCTTGTGTATCACCTTGAGAGTGGAGACCGGCACTTTCCAAATCAAAACTGTAGTTGTTGCGGCAATTTGTTTGCGAAATCGAAAATTATCAAAATGCGCTCCTTCAATCTCCTGCACAAAGAAAGCAGAAGGCAACCAACCTTGCCAGCAAGCGTTGGCTGAGCAGTTCTGCCTGATGCGAATGGAGCTGTGGTGCGGTTGGACATGGATTGAAACAACGCACGCAAATAATGGAAGGAAATTTAAAAGTCAAACTTCCGACAATATGGACAGATGGAAAAGCAGAGGCGGGAGCAGTCAGAGAAGAGAAAGGCAAAAGAAAGAAGATCAGAGAAAGGCAAAAGAAAGAAGATCCAGGCGCGCGAAAAGGCATAGTTTTCCAATGTGTTGTGGTTCCGGGGCACTTTTTGGAAGGTGGGGCGTTCGAAAAGTGCAGGCCGTTTTACGTGAAACGCGTTTCGAAGTCAAAAGTGTTAAAAACTGACGGTCTCGGACCACCTCGGACCGCTTTTGGAAGTTGAGGTATGTTGAGATGTTCAAAAAGTGCACGCCGTTGTGGCAAGAAACACTTTTCGAAGTCAAAAGTGTTAAAAACTGACGATCTCGGCCCGCTTTTGGAATTTAAGATGTCGGAAAAAAGTGCACGCCATTGTGGCGCGAAGCACGTTTCGAAGTCAAAAGCGTGAAAAAACTAACGGTCTCGGACGACTTTTGGAAGTTGAGATGTCGAAACAAAGTGCACGCCGTTGTGGCGCGAAGCACATTTCGAAGTCAATAGTGTCAAAAACTGACGCTCTCGGGCGATTTTCCAAGTGCGGATGCGGTTCTGCGTGGCAGGCCCGATGGATTTTGCACCTTGACAAAAGTGAGTCAAACGTGTGCGTCCCGCGGCACTTTCAAAAACGATGGCACGCATTGGGCATTTGCAGAGGATCTGCGACAATGCATTTCGCGTGGCAGGCGCAATACAAGAGACATCTTCATCAGAGATGTTAGGGTCAGGGCGCTGATTTCATGAGACGGGATGCATTTTGGAGCATCAGATCTTCAGGTTTGCTGACATGATTTTGCGTGACAGGTGCAGCACTTCGTATGACCTGGCATCACTTTTTCGTGGCAGGCGCAATAGTTTAGACAGATGGACTGGAAAAATCGCAAAATGCATTGGTACGAGGTCGTCAGCTCTGCAAGCAACTTTCCATTTTTGAAGGAAGTCTCGCAGAATGGCTTCGTTTTTGATGCTGTCAACCTCAAAATTGAGAAAGTCCCGCAGAACTTCGTCGTTTCGGAGCTGTGAGCTTGCATTTCGTGAATCTCGCAGACTTGCTTCGTTTTGGAGCTGCCAACTTCGACTTTTGAATAGACGGATAGATGGACAGGTGGAGGCATGGATAAATGGATAGATGGATAGACAGACAAGGAGCATTGCATGAGATAGATGGACAGATTGACAGATAGACACGGAGAGATGGATGGATGGATGGATGGATGGATGGGTGGGTGGGTGGATGGGTGGATGGGTGGATGGGTGGATGGGTGGATGGGTGGATGGGTGGATGGGTGGATGGATGGATGGATGGATGGACAGATGGACAGATGGACAGATGGACAGATGGACAGATGGACAGATGGAGAGATGGACAGATAGACAGAAACATAGATAGAGCAGATAGATAGACAGGCAGATAGATAGACAGATAGATAGGTAAATAGGCAGATAGACGGAAAAAAGATTGAGAGAAAGATGGCGAGAGAAAGAGAGAGAGAGAGAGAGAGAAAGAAAAAAGAGCCTCAACCACCTCTCGATCCCTCTGCCATCCATGCATCACAACAAATCACCTCTCCAATAGTTTCCTATCTATCTTTGGAACTTCCGCCACCGCCTTGTGCGGTACTACTGGTCCATTGGTAATTCACTAGCCTGAAATAAGATAAAGGTCACGCCGGGGATAGCAGCGCTGGGGTTTTCAGCTTCGCACACACGCAATTGTCATTTGTCTGTGAAACAACTCTGCCATGTGAGCCCATGTGTCTCCCAGACAGTTCCCACGCCACTGCCAGCTAACGATCCAGTCCCAGAGTCCGGCGTTGATTGATTTTCGTTGCGTGAGGCATATATGTTCTTTGTGCAACAACACAACATGACGAGCGTGTTAAAATGTTCCTATGCTCGCAGCGTAGAAGCAAGAACGGTTTGAACATTACTACAGGAAGTTCAACAACACCGTGAACAATGTTGATATGGTCCTATGCTCGTAGCATAGAAGCAAGAACGGGTTGGAAATCACTATAGGGAGTGCAGCAACGTAATGTCACGTGCGTGTTAAAATGCTCATGCTCATAGCGTAGAAGCAAGAACGGGTTGGAAATTACTTTACTATAACTATAGGAAGCGCAACAACGGACCCATGGAAGAGAGTTTACAATGATCATCTTGCAACTGGCCGAACTGAAAGACAACTCCGAGCACTCTTGGATGGAAAGTTCATACAACCTTGACTGTCTTGCATTGAATTTGCTTGGCTTTGATGGTGGCATTTTGCCATGGATCCCGGAAAAGTCATTTTTGCTATGACTGGTGTCTGACCGTCACCTTTTGCTACCCCTTTGTCGCGCTTTCCTCAAAATCAAGCTCCGCTGCTAGGTCATGGAGATGAGATCCGAAGCGTCACTGGAGCTTCGTGGAGTGCGTTGTTGCGAGACCATTTCAATTTTTACATCACACACCCCGGCCAATGTCTCGTGCATTGTGTCGGTTAAAAAGGTTTCGACATAGGAAGCGCAACAACGTAACATTACGAGCGTGTTGACACGTTCTTTCGGTCATAGCATAGAAGCAAGAACGGGTTAGAAATTACCACGGGAAGTGCCAGACGGGCAAGACGGAGAATCAAAGAACGCAGACGATTGAACGTTATTAGCCCAGCCCACCCCACCCCATGCAAAAGTTACCATGAACATAAATATCAACATCATCAACATCTCTGAAAAATCAAAAAATCCTTTAAATTCCTCAGCGCCGCTATCCCTGACCTGAGCACAAATAAGGCATAATAAGGCTATGTTGGGATAGTTGCCCTACGAACCATCATTCAGGTGACGTCGCAGCGAGGTTGTGATCAAGATTATCCAGAATGATGGTGATGCTCGAAGCGCTGATGTCAAGTCCCCGGCCGCTTTTTTCACAGCAGGCCTGCGCATCAAGGTAATTAAAGCAAACAGGTTGGAAGGAGTCTGCAGTACTGGCAAAGGCGAGGGTACTCTGTTGAATTATTCTGTACAAATCTTGAGATTGTATGGATTCAATCGCGACGGCATATGTCTTGTTTCTATCCAGAGTTCTCCGGTTCCATCTTCTCGCCTGGTCCTGCTATAGTTACTGTGGATCTGTGTATAATTTAAGAGTCTCACCCCCGCATTTCTGCCCAAATGTCCAAACTTTCAGCTCGCCTTGCAGATTTTTTGAGAGCTTCCGCAGCACTCTTGGAATCTGCGTTTTTGGGCTTGGGCCTTCCACAGAGATCCGTGGTGATGCCAGAGCCAAACTCTTGCTGCCAATGTTTGATCACTGTCGTGTCTGCAGACTCACACGCAGATGATCTGATCTCAGGTACCTGATGTCAAAACCATCCAAGTCACTGGAGTCCAAGTCCTCTCAGCATGTTGCAATTCCGCAGTTTGAACAACTTGCACAATCTAGTCGTAACTTCCTGTGATGGGAACGGAAATCCCTGCTTCCATATCTGCAACTTACCATCTGTTCAACTTCATTTCTAGTCATGATACCAGGCACAAAGATGGGTGATTTGTCCAAATCATCTGAAAGGTCTGAGATTCTTCTGCCAAACCCTGGGATTTTTGAACATGTTTGCATATCTGGCTGATCAAATCCCCTTGGCACTTGAAAACTAGTCGCTTGCATCATCCCAAAAAGGATTGAAGTTAACGTATATGTCAGACCACCAAGCAACTATATACAGGACAGATAGTATGAATGAATGAATGAGTGAGTGAGTGACTGAATGAGTGAGTGACTGAATGAGTGAGTGAATGAATGAGTGAGTGAATGAATGAGTGAGTGGGTGAATCAATGACTGATTGATTGAGTGAGTGAATGAATGACTGACTGAATGAATGAATGACTAACTGACTGACTAACTGACTGACTGAATGACTGACTGACTGACTGACTGGATACATAAATAAATAAATAAATATAACAATCTCTATATTATAATAATTTACAATATACATCAATATACACATATACTGTAATGTACACATATAGTTTCTCATCAAGCCTGAAAAACTGTCCGAATCTCCTGGATGTCTAGCTCACCAGAGACCTCCTTGCCATCAAACGAGCCTTTCCAAGTCAGCTTCACCTGCAGTAGGCAATATTTGAGCCCTCGATGACTTCACATGCCTTGTGTAGTTAGTGTGTATAGTTCTATGATGTTTTGATGTGATGTACGCAAATACATATCTTACATTACAAATTAGTATGAATTAGTAGTGTATATCAGTATAATATGAATATTTGCTTTCTTTTGTGATATTACGTTAAATGATGTTATATGATATGTAGGTATGTAACGCGTATTTGTACATACATTGTAATATATTCTGCAGGCCTGGAGGGAACATTCATTTACAAAGGCACCCTGTAAAAAAAACGGCCTACATGAATCTGAGAGGATAAATGTTGCAAGCTCCATGTCCTGCCTTGAACTCGTACCCAAGTCGTGACCTTCCCAGCAAACTGGGTGTGCAACAGCAACGAAAGTTCCATCAGGTTCCATGGTCAGAATCATCCATGATAGGTCTGTCGGAATGATCATGTTTGCGATACCATGGGTTTCAAAGGGTCTCCAAATATCTCTGAGTGCAGGGAAATGCATGGCATTCCCAGTATGGTGTGCAAGTGACTTCTAGAGGCTGCCTGCCACGGATGTGGTACGCTTGCGAGTCTCCAGTGACTGTGGCTGTAACACCCCGCACCTGGCAACAGGTCATAGACTCATAAACACCAACATACGAAGGTGCGCAGCAATGGGCAAAGGCTGTCAGCATATGCCATCGGTTTCTACTGACTTGTAATTATGCAATACCCACTCAGCTTGCAAGAATGACCAGAGTTGCTACGTCTTTGTCAGGCCAATTGAGCTGCACACTTTGTTTCCATCCGCATCGATCAAGGAAAAGCTCTCATCCGTCAGGATCTGCAATCCATTTGGATTTATGAATGCAAGTATGACAAATCAAAAGCGCGGAGTGATATTGAAGGATCCTCTTTCTTCTTGAAACTTGAGAGCAGGCGGAGGCGGACGAAAGGTAGTGTAGTGGGAGAGGAGTGGTGTCAAAATGCTGCGCCCCTAAGATGATACACCAAAAACGTTTTTGCGCAGTCTAAGATGATTTTATCCAGAGCATGACTGCATGATACGGTGTCTTGTGCAGCGTGAAATGATGCACGAAAAGGGGTTTATTTAAAACCCCTTTTTAAGACCCCTTGCAGCAACTGTTATTGAGGCTGAAGCATACCAATTATGCTGGACTACAGGGACATCTCCCTCATGGAAAGTGTGCCTCTAATGTGGGGGCCCGTGACCGCGTCACCCGTGGGAATTGAACCCATGACCATTTTCGGGGGGGGAGGGGGGCCCCCCCCCCTTATAATTGATATCCAATACATAACGGCGAGAATTCCATGAATTCCGTGGTCTGGCCCCCCAATACCCCCTAAGCTTGTGCTGAAGCACGGAGAACTCAGGTAGCTGACGCTACCTTTCGTGATGATACGGAATGCAACATCTTTCAGAAGCGCCAAACTCTGAAGCCGCCTTCTCAAGCTCGGCCCTAGCTGTGACGCTCATATCCTATCACCAGAGCTCTGATCCGATCACACCGTGGTGACCATGTTCAGTGCAACGCTCGTTTGGCCATGCTATGCCATGCTGCTGCGTGATGTCATTGGCACCTTCTCCTCCCAAGTTCCAGCTGAGTTCCAACTGGCACATGGCTCAACTGGAAAGCTTCTGCCGGTGTGAGGCATGTCTTAACCAATTGGGGTCTAGCGAATTCTTCCATGTGGCCGGCCGAAATTTAAAGTGGCTCTCTGACGCTTAAGATGCAGTACCACTTGGCAATATGGAAAGGTCAGAAAGATCGATGAATATCGATGAAACACATTCGCATCAGCACAGTTGCCACATGTTGCCACCCTTGCCGCTTGTTCGAGCTGTTTAATTTGCCCGTGCCTGGAACCCACAGCGTCCTTTGGAGCATCCTGCAGCTTCAAGGCGCTGCATGTCAGCTTCGTTAAAATGGATGTTTTTTGGGGGGGTCCAGCGGACTCCAGAAACAAGGATAACAAGGGATTGTCTCAAAACATGGAAACATATGGAACCCTAAAATCATCTAAAATCCAATCTGTTTCTATCATTTTCCCGTGTGCATCAATCTCGCTCTTTTACTCTATACATCCCAGCTCTGATAAAAAATCTAGCGGCCTCTTCCTGAGCAAACGGAGCGGATAAATTGATGGATGGATTGGATGAAACGCACAGAAATCTCGGTCCTGAGCCGGAGCTGCACCTCCCTCATCCAGTTTTTGTGGTCGGTTGTCGGGCAGAAGATGAGCATCATCAATGTCGCGTTTCCAGTACCTCGCTCTAAAAAAAACACGGCATAGCAGCTCACTGTTGATCTCATTCTACAAGGAAACAAGAATGAAACACACAGGACATGGAAGGTTGTCCAGCTCGTCTTGGGCCCCAGCGTGTAACCACCCTTTTTCTCTGCTTCTTCCTTGGGTCAAAATCCGAAAAGTCGTGAAAAGTTCGAGTCTACCGAGTCTGCAAGCTCTTCACAATTTGCAACAAAAATCCGAAACCTTTCAGAATTCACCGAGCCCTGACCTTGTCCGCCATAGCGCCTGTGGCAAAATGACGCGGTGGTAAAGCTGGTATTCCCCGCAAACATTGGGCAGCATGAACAGGGTTGGTTTCATGACCAGAGGCTAGCTTAAAGCGCTTAGTTTGGTGCCAAAATAAACAGAAAAGACTTGAGACATGGCTTAAGCCATTTCTGGAAAAACTCAGTTCTCGACGCCTCAGGGCGAAATGTGAGCGATCAAAGCTGATCAAGGTCAGCAAAATTGAATGTTTATGTGTATGTATGAGTTGCATTTGTGTCACATGTGCTTGGGAATCTTGAATGCCTTGGCAGTGCATCATGGCCGCTTCTGGTTGGAGCTCTACAAATGAATGTAGTTTATGCGGCTTTTTGACATTTGCTTCAATATCTTAAATACTGAATTGTTCGGTCTGCATAGATCCTACCTGAAAGCAAAAACAGCTTTGGTATCAACAAATGCATGCAACATCTGGGCAAATCTGCGAAAAACACATGCTTCCCGCTTCCAAAGACGTGGCACGAACGGAATTGCTACAACTTTGGGTCTGAGATGGTCTGAGTCTCAATCCATATTTGGGCCCGTCCGCTGACTTGTTTTTCTGGACTCATTGCAGAAACGATGCAAAACATTGCACAATCTAGCGTTTAGATTCATTGGCTCAAAGTGATGCCGTTTGTGGCATTCTGTGGCAATGGTGATCAGCAATCATTCAATCAATCTGCTATCAAACCTCAAGCGAGGAATAGTGGATATTATGTGCATTCTATAAATCAGCTAGTCATGAAAGGACGCTCAATTTCAAACCATTTCAGACTATCATACAGGTATGTACAGTATTGGCTCAGCGTAATTGCAAAGATGAATCAGCAGCATTGGCCGATCACTTTCCTTGCATTCCCCAAGACCTCATGGAGCAAAAGTGCAATGCAGACTGTGCAACTGCGGTGCTGTCCTTTCAGTCGTATCAATCACCGCATCAACCTACCTATGGCGACTATACCGATTTGTATTTGAGGAGAAAGCGCAGCTGGTTGAACTGGCACCTCATCGCAGATTTGAATATCAAATGCAAGACCAAGATGATGTGGAGGTTTCCTGAAATGGGGGGTACCCATTTGAATTGGATTTTCCATTATAAATTATAAACCATCCAGCTATTGGGGTACCCCCCATTTATGGAAACTCCCATATTGCAATTGCAATCGGCTGCAAAAACGTCAGGTCGCACCATCGGCTGGAACTGGCGAACAGCTGGTGTCTGTGGCGTCAAGCTTGTCACAACCTCAAGTAGCCAACTGTACCCAAAATGTGTGGAGGCTGAAGCAACATGGACAACTGTACTGGTTCTTGACTGCTTTGCTTCCAAAATAGTCATACATACATAGTCAATCATAGTCATACAACGTCAATATGGTCATGCCATGTAATGCCTACCTACCTACCTACAACCAGTGTCAGAACCAATCAAGCCCCTTCTGATCTGGACTGCGAAATAGTTCCACTGAGTGCCTCTGCTGGTTCCTGATAAACGGGCTGCAGTGGCTGCACTGTAGGCGTCCATGTTGTTGCTGGCATCGCTGGCTGCGCCTTAATTTGAAGTCAATGAACATTCAAGCAAGAATGGAGTCTGAATGGATCCTTCAACATGAAGAAAAACAACGCACATACAACGCACGTGGATCGGAGTCCCTGCACATTTCCACCTTACGTACCAAATGTGTGGCTGCCTCCCTTGAGAGCCATTGCCCACTCGAGCATGCGTGTGTGCCAATGTACAATGTGAATTCTTATTGGTATAAAATGGTATAACTGTAACTGCAAAATCAAGAAGAGCAGAGCTCAATTTGCAAAGCCCAAGATCACACTGATGATCACACGATATTACAAGTTCCATCCCTGGCACTGAGGAATGAGGCTAATGAGGCTGAAGTGGAAATTGCTGGATATCGCCGATAACCTGCAGGATCAGAGACCTGACATAGGGCAACCATGGGCAACCGGAAACCCCTGCTATGAGACAACCTTTTCCATACATCGGTGGCAACACGTGCCATGTCTCAGCAGGCTGCTGTGATCTCTGGCGCGTATCCGCCTTCTCCAATGACCTGACAGGCTGCCCAACCCCCAACATATTCTGCCAAGGGGTCATTCACCATCAACCCAAATGAAGCAGGCTATTGAACCCTGACTATTGGGGGTACTACCTTTGAGAGGTAGCAGGCTATTGGACCCTGACAATGGCCTCTATTTCAGGAACCGGATGTCCATAGTGAATCGGCTTCAAACATCTTCAAACGATTTACAAATATAAGGGAGAACACATTATCAATAGCAGGACTACTTTCCACCATGAGTCGTTTTCATGCGAATCGGCAAAGAAAACAATGACTCGATTCCACCACAGCTTCTTTCTGTCAGGGCCTGCGTGGAGAGGTCATGCGTATGGGTGTCAATCGCATCCCACAATCGCCGGTACTCCTTGCTTCTTTCCTCTATCTCCTGTCCATGCACAGCTTGCGGCCACCCTGAGGCGTTGATCGTGTCAGGTTGCGACAGCCAGCACTGGTCCTTCCGCAACAGACTGTCAAATATTCCCAGCGTCTTCTGCACAGAGTCGACCTTAGAGCGAATACAAATGGGCAAAAACCGGACCTTCTTGGAGTACGCCTGTTTATTTAATTTTTAAATGTGTAAAATACATTGAAGTCCCAAGTGCGCAGCTCGTTCTTCGAATGATGAGTGATGTTTGCTTCGCTCTGCTTTTTCCTGCGCCAGAAGTTCCTGCAGCTCAGGTGGGTAAAATTGTGCTCATATTATCTTGGAAGGAAAAAACAACTGCAGTATTCGTTGGAATTCTCTGCGCCAAATGTGAAGAAAGTTTGCTCTTGCTATCAGTCCAATTCCGCCAGTATCTCCTGATTTTGGACATTGCCTCTTTTCTATCAAGCTGAGCTAGCGTCCTCAATAGCTCCGCGAGCTGCTTTCTCCTTGTGGACGATGTCATGCAGCATGTTGTGGTGCCTTGTCCAGGCTGGCATAGGAGTGAATGCAAAAGCTGGATGTTGATGTGATCAACTGGTCAAGCTAAGCTCAGGGCTGCTCACGAGCACTCCGTTCTTTTTGGATTACTTCATGTACATCTCGATGGCGATTCTGGGACACAATGAGAGAGAAATGGACACTGCGAAATAAATAGTCAGGAGATGTCAGGAGGCCAATTTAAACATAAATCATGCTGCCTCATTAGCTGCGCGCTCTCGCCCAAGCAAATCTTGGTGATGTTCATGAAGCTTATCCTTGGCAATCGCTGTGGAAAACGCTTTATTTCTTCTTGATCCTTTTTATTTATTTTTTTTACTCGTTTGTAATGTTCGTGGCTGTTTCATCTGGAAGTGGTCGTATACTTCCAAGCGGGCACTGAGAGTCGCACTCTGGCCTCTTTTTCCCTGCTTAGCAAGTCTTGGACATGAGTAAGATGCTTCTCTCGAGCTGCCTGCGCACCGTCGCGACGAGAGTCAATGTTCAATAGTGAAAATGGTTTCATACAACCATCTTGCACCATATCTGTCAGAGTCGTCGTTTTCTGAGCCTTCTCGTTGCTGAGACTTTCCTTCACCTTTGTCGGTTTAGCAAATCTGGAAACACAAAGAAGCAATCACACCATCAGCTTGCAGTCGGGTCGGCAACCTGGTAAACATATACGGGTGGGGCTAGGTAAACACAAAGTTACCTGAAAAAGTTGGTCGTTTTGCTTCACTGCCATAAAAAGGCAAACTAGGTATGCTTATATAACGTTACTCAGAACACATGACAGACTTGTGTGCGTTGGAGGGTTTGTGATCACGGGAGGGATCCCAGTCTTGATCATGGGAATCTCATGGAATGTGTTGTTAAAAAATGCGGGCAAGGTACCAAGTTCTCGTGCACTTCTCTCCCTTTTCGCTCGGTCCCTAAGTGGGATTGAATATTTTGCTCGTGAACTTTTCGCAGGCGACCTTGGCACCCAGGAAGAACTCGTTGGTAAAGCATGCTAAAGCTGTGAACTCTTTCTTATGAGTATAAAATAAACTGGCAATCGTCCAACTAGTATTAAACATGCTTTAAATTGTTTTAGGGTATATTAAGCACGTTCCTTTCTGTTGTTTGTGTTTGGTTGATGTGCTCTTGCACAAGGAATTTGGTGAAAGATGCTGAAAGTACCATGCGCCAAAACTTCTTCTACAGAAGGCAGTGTATTCAACATGAACTGTCCAATTTTAAAGTCAAAGGAAAACACGCATGAACACCCACAAACACACTGCAGAGGAAAAAAAACATTTCCACAACCAACCATTGACTTATAGGATTCTTCACGACCCGATGGCCATTCTTGGGGATGCCCAATTTGCAGACCCAGAGGACCATTTGCAGACGCAGGGGACCTGAACCTGAGATCCCCGGCGCTCTTGTCCAATCTGCTCTTGGATTGCATCGTGTTGCTGAGATCGAGCTGCCGCCTCTCACTGCAATGCGCTCAGGTGGCACTGGTGGCCCTAACGGTTGTGGGAAAAAATAATCTGAAGGACATGTCAATGTAGAATAGGAAAGAAAGGTACATTGATAGTACATTGATTTGGTAGGAATTCAAAGTTCTGGTTCGTCAATTACACAAATCGAGATTGTCTTCCACAGAATTCTACAGAAGTTAGGATTAGTAAAAGCCTCGTTCGATTTAAGATCCTCCAAATCCAAATCCATTTTGGGATGCTTGAAGTATTTTAATCAGATCATTCCTGCACGTTTCAGCATTGTCCTACGACAACTTGATGACACCTCGGTACGCATGTGATCACGAAGCTGGGATAAACTCTCCTGATGCCTCAGGCCATGGTCGGATTCGTGCAAAAACGCAGTCGTCTGGACGCTTTGGCATGGCAGGTACAAGTAGGACTCCTTTGGTTAAGATTATCCACCATGACATAAAATAATTGTGAGACACGCAACGCAGGCATCAAATCGTCTTCGTACAGCCCTCAGTTTCTTTGCACATCTTTTTTTGGCTCAAATATTATCTCAACATATCTCAAATTTGACCTCTTCAAACTACATCTTTCGGCAGAACACTCCTGAGCATAAAACTCTGCGGCCACGCGCTCCAGTTTCTGCGATCGCTCCTTGTCAACACGTGCCGGCCAAGAGTATCCCACAAATATATTGTAGTGGTATGTAGTGGTGTGTATATTGTAGTGACTGTAGTGGTTTTGTAGTGGTTCTAATCACAAAAGCAATGATTCCACCAGTCCTCCAGTGTGGCATGGTGGGCTCCACGTCCATCACGTTCCATACTGAGCCTTCCCTCGAAATCAGCATGTGCCTGACGTCAGCTGCGTCCATACAAAGAGTTCAAAAGCAAGGACATCAGAAGTCACATCATCTCACCTCATCTGATATTACCAAACATGAGCTGGAAGATACGTGAAGCACTCTGGCTAGCTCTGGCTGCTGCGCCTGCTCGCGAAGTTGTTTTTCATGATGGAGCCGATCATGTAGTTGCTCCTGCCCATCGGGAATGTGGACATGCTGTCGGTGGGCATGTGGTTGTGCCTGTTGAGAACCAAAGATTGCCCCCTGTAGCGAATGCTGTCAGTGATCACGGACACAAAGAGTTTGCAATGTTGGCACAGTTTTTGACCCGTTACTAAGAAACGCAAACAAAACATAAAATGCAGCGTTCAACGCACTACGAAATGATACGAAATGTTTTGCCCTGTACCACATTAAGATGTTCTCCTGGGCTTGTTTTGTCGCTTGAAGCTCCTGCAGCGTCTTCTGTCCGGCACCAAAGCAAATTCACCAGAATGTAGCGAGTCTTTCTGCAAAGCCCTTTCACCACTTCGCAGCCCCAGCTGAACACGTCCTTCTTGTGGTGCTCGGCCGAATCCCCCACTATCTTCTCAAGATAATCCATTCCTTTGATTCCACTTTCTCACGCAGAAATCCAGTTACTAACGTCCACAGAAGAAATCAAGATGAAACTGGGATCCTCACTTTGGGCCAGGCTTGCATGATGTGAATCACGGCTTGCCTTCAGGAATGCAGCTGGAACTTGATCTCGGCTTTCATAGTGAACATGCTCGCTAAACGTTCGACCAATGACAGGCACCTGGCCTTCTCGGACATAAAAGCACTGTGATTCTGCTTCAGGCTTTCCACGGTTGACCCAAAAGCCTAATGGACAGTAAATCCTCACTCTGCAAATGCGATGATAGTAGCAATGTGCTGACAAATGATAATAACAATAATGGTAATAATGAGAATGATCATCACGACATGTTCATCAAAATGCAAACAAGGACACGGACAAGAACACGAACAAGAGGACGACAAAAAAGAACAAGAATATCAAGAACACCAAGAAGAAAATTCACAAATGTGCAAGCGCACTCAAATACAGCCACCAAACACACGGAAGAGATTCCGCCTCCAAAGCCGTGAGGCGGCCTCGGAGCTGATCAAGCTTCGTGTGAGCCTGCGGTGGTTCTGGCACATCAAGATCATCAAGACATAGAGTGACTGCACATCGCAAGTTTCGGATCCTTTTCATGGCGCAGCTGTGATGCGCAAATCAACGGCCTGTCCAATCTCGTTTGCATGTTTATCGGCAGAGTCGCCCATCAACTTTTCCAGATAGTCGACTCTGTCTCCCAATGTAGCATGCTGTTGCAAAGAGCCTTGGGAGGCAAAGAACAGCCAAAGCGGCTGACTGATGCTGAATTTGAGAAGTTCGAAGCTAAAGTCAAAGCATCTATGGGTCACCAGGGCTGAGCAAGAAGCTGTGATGATTCCCAAGCTTTTGATGGGCCTGCTCTACTTGGCTTTTCACCTGATGCCACACGAAGATATCGTTTTGATATCCTTTTGACGCAAATGCCTAACTCTCAGGCTTTCAGTGGTGCATGAAAGTGAGCTACTGACTTGCTTGAGCTCTCGAGCATGAGTCTCCTGAGTCTCAAAACGAGATAGTACTGACATCGCGTGACTGTTGGTCGGATGAAAGGTGGGCTCAACGTCGATTCCAGGCATTGGACCAGCGAACCACCAAACTGCTGCTCCAAGAAAGCCAAACGGGCCTGTGACGTGCTGCAAAGTCAACATCTGTGAATGAATTGTCGTGTCCGTAAAATTCCTTGACGAATGATGCCGGAAGCGTGGTTGATGTCAAGTGCAATGGCTTCATGAAAATGATCTGATAATGCTAAGAAGCCGATGGAAAATTGGATGTAAAAATCAGAGAATCCCAGAATACTATGCTCTCTAAAGCTAAAACAACTTTGGGTTTTGCCACCTTGAATTGTCATGGCAGGAAGTAGAATGAGACACGTCCGTCAGATGCATGTTTACCTTGAACTTCTGTCATGAGAGTCCGAATGCCATGACAGCATTGAAGTGTTACAATCACGACAACAAAAGTCTCTATTTGTCCTTAGCAGATTGAACAGTTCCGCTACCGGGGCCTCAGTCTCCTTTGCTCTGCGATCGTCCACTTGACCAAACCTTGGTCAAATCTACTTCCATTCACTTCCTGTTTCTCAGTTGTGCAAGTTGTGATACGTTTCGGTACCAACTTTGGTGCTTGGCTGTTTCTCAAGCCGCTCAAGCCTCTCCTGCATGCTTCCGTGCAGCTTCTCCATCCTTCGTCATGTTCAAGCAAGTAACCGTGGTAAAAGGTTTAGATGACCATGGAAGACATGATCGTAATTAAGTAAGTACAGATCAGTGACAACGTAAAAGTCGTAAAATGACATTAAAGATCATTAAACCATATTAAACCAGCAGATGCCAGATAAAAATCCTGCACCGATGCCCCATCAAGGTCAGGTCCCGTCCTGCTGGACATCTGTTCTTGCAAATTGCCTTTGAGCTTTTCGATGTTTGAATGGGCAGCCTGGATGCCCTGGAACAGAGTTGCTGCATTGGAGGCAAGCATAATCGCTGCGTCTTCAAAGCAACTTGGCTTCTGGTAATTCTTCTCCAAACCACCATTCTTGGCTTAAGACATAAGACTTGCGCGAATCACTTGCGAAAACTTTTCATCATCTTTCATTGATGTGTCGCATTTCTTTAGCCCCATTCTTTCCGCAAAGTTCTCAAACAAAAACTTTCGCGAGGAGTCTACTTTGAACATCGAAAGCCATCCCTCATCTACAATCCTTACAAGGACCTTATGACCAGCACCCATTTGAATGACAAGGATAGAAGCTTAGAATTTTGCACTGCAACTGAAGCAGCCTCGGCATGTTTGTCAACGGAGTCACCAACCTTGAGCAGAAAATGGTAGGAACGGAATGTCAAAACAATAACTGATATATACGATATTTATGATATTATATATAATATATATTATAAAACTGCCAAATCTGTCAAGTATACTTTGGAAGTGTTTGAGAAGATCCGAATATGTTAATACATGGAAAAGGATGAAAAAGGACTCAACTAAATGTCCACAATATTGCCATCTCAGTCCAAAGAGATCTGATTTCCTGACCAGCTGTTCGATGTAGTTGAGACGTTCCGCCATAGAGGCATGATGAGCCTGGGGAAAATCGGTGACGTTGGAAGCAGCTTCAAGGTGGTTTTGGTCGTAATAAATGCCATAAATGGGCCATATATGGGCCATATATGGGCCATATAACATATATATATATGTCCATGACAACTGGTTGGTGGCTTCGACCCACCTCACCTGACAAAAGAAATATGGCGCCTCCCGGGCTTTGGCTTCATCGGCTAGTCTGGCGTGGGACAATTTGGCCTCGCATCATATTTCTCAGTGAGTTGGCGTGACACATATTGGAGACCTCTGCAACCACGTGCCACTGGCAATTATTTGTTTCGTTTTCTTATTATTTGTTTATTCTCAAATCTCAATGCGATAGTTTAAGGATAGGGCGGACTCAAGATCTTGAGAATGGCGTTCATGGCGTTCTGCAGATTCGCCCAACAGTCGCTCAAGGTAGTCCACACCTTGCATTAGAAAGCGTCTACTTGAGTAAAGCGGCAAGATGGTTTTTGTTTGTCTCTTGACTTGCCGTGTTGACTGGCATCCGTTACGAGGCAGGCGCGCTTTTGAGTATTCGCGATGATTTGCTCTTGTGACATCAATTTGGCCTGACAAGAAGAGCAAGTAGCCACTGCCTTTGAATATTGCTGCACTTCTGCTGAACACGCCAGCTTTGTGCTCTGCCTTCTGCTCTTTCACGTCGCTCTGCATGGGTGCAATGTTGGAAGAAAGGCCAAGCCCCAAGTTCTCTTTCAAAGCGGAAACCTCTCGTGCACAGCTCAAGGCACGACACTGCATGCTGTGTAAATGTGAAAACGAGACTTGGCGAAAACGACGCAATGTGGCTCACTCTGCCTGTGAAGAGAGGTCGTCCCCCAGGCGCCGATGCTCTTTGGTTCGTTCATCTATCTCCTGTAGGAATGGTTATTTTATGTTATTTTCATATGGATTTCAGATGGATTTTCCAATATAGATTTCAAATCGTTGCCAATATTCATGATATTCATGACACCCAGCAGTGGCAATGCTGACGAAGCTGCGGAAATATCCGGAACTCGTCCGGCAACCGTCCTTCCGCAGCAAACTGTCGAATATGCCCAGAGTCTTCTGCACAGAGTTTACCTTACTATCGTTGATTTTTTTCGCTGAATGCTGTATACATGACAGCATCCTTTCCTGGCGAATTAGAATTTATTTTTTCTTTGGAAGAACACTGAATTCAGTACACTCCGTGGGAGATAGATGGAGATAACATCATTTCCATGCGAATATTCTGAGGATGCAGCTTGTTCTGAGAGAGACGAGTGATGTTTACTTCTCTCTGCCTTCTCTGCAGCCAGCAATTCCTCAACAGTGTGGATTTTGCACATCTAAGCGGAACGACAAGCCTGGAGGGTGGTGCCATGTAAGTATGACTTTTTGGATCGGTTACACTGCCACAGGATTGAGGTGAATGAAGGCGTTGTATTTTCGTTTGTCCTTTCGTTCGCAAATGCCCAACATAGTTCAACAATTCGTTGATTCATTGTCATGCCTTGACTTGATTTCTTACAAGTGTAGTGTAGCTGGGTTCCCGTCCTCCATTGCTCCACGCGCTGCCTTCTCCTTGTGAACGATGTCATGCAGCATGTTGTGGTGCCTTTGTTCCGAGCTGGCATCGGAGCGAATCCTAGCAAGTTAAACTACGCCAAACTTTGTCTTGAAATGTCAAGCTAAGCGCAGGGCTGCTCGCGAGCACTACGTTCTTTTTGGATTACTTCATGTACATCTCGATGCCGATTCTGGGACGCTATGAGGGAATTGGACCCTGGGAAATCAGCTCAAATATGCTCAAATAGTCTGGAGATGTCAGGAGGCCAATTTAAACACAAATCATGCTGCCTCATTAGCTGCGCGCTCTCGCCTGCCTCATTAGCTGCGCGCTCTCGCCCAAGCAAATCTTGGTGATGTTCATGAAGCTTATCCTTGGCAATGGTCGAAAAACATTGATACCCGTCGATCTTTGTTGAATCCATTTACAAACCGGCACTGAGAGTCGCACTCTGGCCTCTTTTTCCCTACTTAGCAAGTCTTGGACATGAGTTTGATGTCTTTCGCGAGCTGCCTCAAGAAAACTCCAAAAATATCAAGAATGAATTTTCTCAGTACACGTTTTGTCACTCATGCTCCAGACATCTCCAGACAACTGGTCCAAATCGGGCGGCAAGTACCTGGCCTTTTCATTGCTGAGATGTTCTTTGACCTGCATGACGAAAAGGAGGAAAATACAAGGGAAATCAAAACAAATGCTCAAAACACATGTGTATTCTATCTTATGCACCTCGCACCCAAATGCTTTGATATGCAATGATTAAATGAAACACTGTGCAGCCGTGCGTTTAGGCCAAACAATGTAGCACGAATGTTTCCGTTCAAACAAACCATACACAGAGATCATTTTTTGTGCGCCTCATTGCGGAGGTGATCTCTAAGTTGCGATGCGGTTTCGTGATGCCTCAGCGACAACAGCCTCTGGGTTTCATTGGCAATGCCCAGGGACACGGGATTGTCATCGTCGTACTCCAGCGCAAACCTGTATTTCTGCAAAAATGGTGGGCGGTAGCCTAGAGATACAAACCGCATGCTGGTTTTGCTGGGAGCAAACGCATATTTAACATTTAGATACATATGGCATACGTATTAAATATATCCGCCGACCCCAACCGACGGCAGGGGGAGCGCGTCAGAGAAGAGATTACAAGCAGCAAGGTTTGGCAGAAGCTTGGAGCAAGAACAGGACGCAACAGGCAAGAGACAAAAAGCAGGCAAGAAGAAGCAAAGGGCAAGAAGAAAGGTGCAAAACGGGGCCATGGGAACAAGAGGTGCAAAACGGAGCCGTGGGAATAAGAGGCAAGAAGCAAAAGGCAAGAACGAGAGCAAGAACAAGAAGCGGCAAGAAGAAGAAGAAGAAGAAAAGAAGAAGAAGAAAAAAAAGAAGTAGAGGAAGAAGTGAAAGTTTTCATGTAGGTAGAAATAGACTCCGAAACAGAAGAAGGTCAAGAAAAAGCCAGCAGGAGCAAGCAGCAAGGCGAAGAAGCAGGAGGCAAGAGAAGAAGAGAAGCAAGAGAGGGCAGGAAGCATGGAAGAGGAAAGAAAGGCAACTTGGAGCTGGTTTCTAGCCTATTCAGGCACCAGCAGCTGTTGGCCAGAGGCAGCCGCAGGCCAAAGGCCTGGTCCGACCCTCCGTGGCATGGTGTTTCCGTGTGGCGAAGCCAACGTTTTGGAGGCTTGAAGGCTGCAATTTGGAGCTTCCTTCTTGTCAGTTCAGAAAGCGATGTTAGGAAGAGGCAGCCGCAGGCCTGGTCCGTCCATCCGTGACATGGTGCTTCACCGTGGCGAAGCTAACGTTTTGGAGGCTTGAAGGCTGCAAATTGAGCTGGTTTCTTGTCAGTTCAGAAAGCGACGTTAGGAAGAGGCAGCTGCAGGCCGAAGGCCTGGTCCGTCCCTCCGTGGCATGGTGTTTCGAAGGCAATGTTCTGGAGGCTTGAAGGCTGCAATTTGGAGCTGGTTTCTTGTCGGTTCAGAAAGCGACGTTAGGCAGCAGCCTGGTCCGTCCCTCCGTGGCATGGTGTTTCGCTGTGGCGAAGCTAACGTTTTGGAGGCTTGAAGGCTGCAATTTGGAGCTAATTTCTTCTCCGTGCAGAAAGTAACGTTAGGCACAGGTAGCCGCGGGCAAAAAGACTGCAAGCTTCTTGTCCGTGCAGAAAGCAACGTTAGGCAGCTAGGAAATGTTTTTTATTTCCCCACCTGCCAGGTGAGGGTTGTTAGATTTTATCAGAGTTGTTCATCTCCTTCTCCTTCTTCTCCTCCTCCTTCTCCTCCACCACCTCTGCCTCCACTTCCATGTTCACTTCCGCCTTGCCAACTCTTCGCCAAGCTCTTCGCCAACTCCCGCACGCAGTGGGCACTGCTGGACCTCAACTGCAAGGGTCTGAGCGCACTGGGCACCGCTGGACCTCAACCTGGGACCTTCCGAGCTCAGTGAACCTCAACCTGGGACCGTCCGAGCTCAGTGAGCACCGCTGGACCTCAACCTGGGACCCTCCGAGCTCAGTGAGCACCGCTGGACCTCAACCTGGGACCCTCCGAGCTCAGTGAGCACCGCTGGACCTCAACGGCCAGATAGAATGCCAGAAGATGTGCCAGATAGAACGCCAGATAGAATGTCAGAAAGAATGCCAGAAGATATGCCAGATAAAGTGCCAGAATGTTTGCCAGATAGAATGCCAGAAGATATGCCAGATAGAATGCCAGAAGGTATGCCAGATAAAGTGGCAGAATGTTTGCCATGCCAGAAGATATGCCAGATAGAATGCCAGAAGATATGCCAGATAAAATGCCAGAAGATATGTCAGATAGAATGCCAGAAGATTTGCCAGTAACAAAACGTATAGATGTCATGGTGGGGATAACTCGAAGTAAAGTATGTTTTTTCCTCCTCCTGGCGCGCCGCCAAGTGTCCATTCCGGCCGGCCCCAAAAACTGACTCCAACAACATACCAAAAAGTTTCAATTTTGTTTTTGTTTTGTAAACTTTGTTGGTGTTTGAAAGGGTCAGTCTTTTGGAGATGGCCGAAATGGAAAATGGCAGTGGTGAGGCTTGAGGTATTGAGCCGGTGCAGTCTCAAGACTTGGCTGCTGTGGTCAAATATCATCCATTCCGCAATCTCGTAGCCACTAGCTAACAATTCAAACACGCGCAAAGCTGATATAGGGACGTCTCAAAATAGGAGCGCCCCAAGCTTCCAATTTCTAATATTAAAAAATGCATTTGGGGCACTCCATATGGGCATCCCTACTTTGAGACATACCCATTTTGTTTTCCCGAAGCCAAGACAATGGCACATGCCATTTCCTCTCAAATGGAAGCGGACGGAGCTCCACAAATCACCCATGAACCCCCAGAAAGGTGCATTTCAGCCGTGAAAAGAACATCATGCGAATCAGCTCCCTCATGATTCCTGGATCAAGTAGGCGCAAATCAAAACTTGATTTTGGCACATACCAAACACCACTTGGCCCAAGGCCACAACAAGACGTGGGATTGTATAACGACACTGTACTATCGCTATCGAAGAAAAGCGAGTCTTCCTCAGACGTCGACGAATCCGCTGGCAGAGGGGTAAACAGCATCAAGCCAACTATGCCCGTTGTGCTGAAATGGAACAATGCAATGTCATCCCACGGATGAGTAGCGTGAAAAGTCTCGTAAGAATACGCGCCCAAACGAAACAAAGAGATGGCTCCCTGCAGTTCCCGGTCATGTCTGTGCAGATTGCTGAAACGGGTGAGCACATGAAATGGAACCCTGCATGGGTGCCCCTGCCATCGGAAAATCTACGTTTGCCTCCATGCTTACAGGTCGTCGGCACGGAAGAATGCCAGCAAGCCGCGCTGACTCTGCATGACCCAGGTCACGCCGCCCGTGCCGCCCAAGCAAGTAAACCGAAAGTGTGCAATTTGCAGGGATGGTAAGATGGTTACAAGCTGCGGTATGACAAGAACATCACACTGTGCTCTGTACCTGCGCGCGCACGCACAGAGCACATGAACAACACCAACGCTCACACTACTATACATAGCCCCTATGGCAACGCCGGTGTGCGAAGCTCTACAATATTGTATATAATATATATATATATCATTCATGTATTCACTGCAAAACATAAGTAGTCACACATTCTGTCCCCGTGCCGGCCAAAAGATGGAAACAAATGAAATGACCGAGAAAAGAAATCAACTAAAAAAATGCAGTTCTGCTTTTTCATTGTACCTTCAGCGCGCTCCAGTGTCGCGTGCGGCATGACAAAATTATCACAAAACGCATGAACATTGCCCCTAAATGCTTGTGCAAAATGGTGAGGGACGCTGCGACTACTTGATTGCTCTTGGGGAGTTCATTCCTGTTCCAAGCAAACGCATGCTGGAAAGAATGGGTCTGTACCATAAAGTACTGCTCCGAACAAGAATGAATGGTTCTGTTTGACAAAGCACTTCTGCAAGTCTTTCAAACAAATCACTGCTGATTTCACAAAAGAAAGCACTATAACTACCCGGTGTGCATCCTCTTCGGCCCCACGTATAGAAAGTCATACGGAATATCGCTGGTACTACCTGTAGAACGAAGTAGTACCCTCGCACTACAGACCGTTCTACAATACAAAGTACCAACCTATTTTCTTCTGCGGAAAATATAGTCGTTGTATGTCTTTGTAAATTGATTGCACAAGTTCCTCCAAACAAACACTTTGAGGCGCCCACTCTCCGATTGCCCGCTCGAGCTTTTGTAGCCGCTCCTTGAGGTTCCATATTGTGCTTGGTTTTTGGATGTTTTCACATTATGTTGATCAAACGACGAGACCAGGTGGTTGTGTGCTCGTCAAGAGAGGAGTCCTCCATGGTGGCATGGTGCGCTCCACGTCCCTCACGTTCCGTACTGAGCTTCCCCTCAAAGTTGGCATGTGCCTCGCGTTGGTGCTGTCAACAAATGCATAAAAATTAAAAGTCTGACAGCATGTCCAACCCGAAGGGTGCAAAATGATGCAAGACAGTAACTATTAACTATGGCTATCAGAAACTCGAGGCCGGGGGCGGATGACGAAAGCTAGCGGGGTAGGAGAAAGAAGGAAGGGAAGAGGTGAGTTGCGGAGGGACTGTCATCAGCGTGTCGCGGCATTGTTCGTCCCAACGAGGATGCAACAATGATATATTGATATATGATATATAACAATGATATATATGGGGGAGGGGGCAGGGGGGGGCCCTTTCGCGGGAAAAATCACGTGATGTCCTTGGGGAGCCCCGGAATACGTGCTAAAGCAAGAAGACTCTAGCGAGCTGACGCTAGCTTGCGTGATAATGACAATAATTGCCAATAATGATAAAATGTAATTGAACAACGATGATGATGATGATGATGAATGATGAATGATGAATGATGAATGATGAATGATGAATGATGAATGATGAATGATGATGATGATGATGATGACGAGGATGATGATGATGATGATGATGATAATGATGACGATGATGATGACGATGACGATGACGATGACGAGGACGATGACGAGGACGACGATGATGATGATGATGATGATGACGATGACGATGACGATGACGATGACGATGATGATGATGATGATGATGATGATGATGATGATGACGAGGACGAGGACGAGGACGAGGACGATGGAGAGGACGATGACGAGGACTATGACGATGATGATGACGATGATGATGATGATGATGATGGTGATGGTGGTGATGGTGGTGATGGTGGTGATGGTGGTGATGGTGGTGGTGGTGGTGGTGGTGGTGGGGGCCCCCCCTTTCGCGTGAAAAATCACGTGATGTCCTTGAGCAGCCCCCCCAATACTTGCTAAAGCAAGAAGACTCCAGCTAGCTGACGCTAGCTTTCGTGATAACCATGGGAACCATGGGAACTAGTGTAAAATGTGTGATAACATGTGATAACTATGCATATCAGAAATCAGACTTCTCTACCTGCTCCCGGAGTTGCTTTTCTTCATGCAAGCGCGCATGAAGTTGCTCCTGCGAGAGGCACAATTCTGGCAGAGATGACACGGAACCAAATCTGTCTATTACATACGTAGATTCAGACATATTTGAGGTAGCTTTGAGGTTTGTTTAGGATCTTTTTCGAGTAGCTGTGCTGCTCTCCTGGGCATGTTTCGTGGCTTGAAGTTCCTGCACAGAATGTCAAGCCGTTCAGTGCAATCTTTGATATCAAGCAAGTTCCAGCCTTTTTGTGGTGCTCAGCCGAATCCCCAACGATCTTTTCAATATATTCCATTCCTTGTTGTCGAATGTGTGATTCATTGTTCTCCTCAAGTTTCTGACTGCATAGCGATTGACTCAAACTTGGGTCCGGGCTCTGGGCCAGGGTTGCGTGAGATGTATCACGGCTGGCCTGGAAAGCTGCCGAACGCTAAAGAGCGAAGCGTTTTTTTTGGCCCGTGTGCAATATACTTCGAACATCTTCGAACATCTTCGAACATCTTCGAACAATCTTGACAAGCACAAAACATCACGGAGTCCTGTAAAATGCAAACACTGTGTGGCCGCTGCTATTTCTGCTGAATGAGTATGATTTCTTGCCTCTTGCCTTTGATTCAAGGATGCATCTGGGAAAGTCACAAGTTCACATGTTTGCCATCGTAAAAATATTGCGGGACGGTCATCCAACCTGGGAATCCATACAGTGGTCCTACAAATCCGTACCAATAATATCAAAAATGGATTAATGACCATTCCCCTAAGATTGGCAATATACCCATGTTTTATCATGTTTTGACCATGGCACATCTGATCATTTCAGAGAAAAAAATGACCGGGCTTGGCCTGGTCAGACAAGAATTTCTCGTGTGCTTTGCGGACGCTGTCAATGTGGCTGCCGTGCGCCTGCCAACAGCTGCGCTGGGCAGTTGTCTTGATCACTCCACAAAACTAGTTGTGAAAACTGCAGCCCCATTTTTATGCGTTTGTACTTCTGGCTAGTCTTCTCATGAAGGATTGCAATCATGGTGCTTGCAGTATGTTTTTTTTGAAGTCCCCGAGTGATCTGCCATATTGGGTCAAAGTTCCAGAGCTATAAACTGCTTGTTTGCTTCCAATCAAACATCAAGGTACGAGTACTCAAACCCTGCAGCCGGAGGCACTTGCCTCACAAGCTGCAAGTCGGCCATGCATTTGCTCCATCTTTGCATGGGCGGCTTTCAAGTCTTGACCTCAGCCAGGCTCTTACGAAGTTACAATGCCCTCTTGAGAGTTGGTAGGCAGCAACTTGCTACAGCCTACATTCGAGAAAAAAACAATTTTCAATTCTTGAGGAAGAGGAGAGGAGATATGAGTTTCTCAAGCATCGTTCCATGGACTGAGAGATATTGCAATCGTATGCAATCGCATTCTTTTAAGGATTTTTAAGGCCAATACCATGCTGATCTGCGGAGTCCCCCAGCTGCTTCTCAATGTAGTCCACGCGCTCTGAAAGGGAGGCATGATGAGCATCACGTTTTGCCTAGTGACAAGAACATGAGGGCATCAAACATGGCATACATATATGCATGCCATAGAATGCATACATAAGACTTTGGTCAAATTGCAGCACGCAGCCGCAAGGGCCTTCTCCGTCATGAGAACGAAATGGTTCTGCTTCATGCTTTCCACAGTTACACCAACAGCCTGGCAGATATTCAAGGCTTCGTGCAGCTCAAAATCCCAGAATGTGCTACTCCTATTGGATTGCTTGTAGTGCTTGTTGAGGGGAAAAAAGCATACGTGCCAATTCATGCTCGAGAAATCAATATCTGCGACCTATGGCTCTTCTGCAAACGCTACATGATAAGCAAACAAGGAACAACTCTCACGAGGCTCGGAAGAGATTCCGCCTCCAAAGCCGTGAGGCGGCCTCGGAGCTGATCAAGCTTCGTGTGAGCCTGCGGTGGTTCTGGCGCATCAAGATCATCAAGACATAGAGCGACTGCACATCGCAAGTTTCGGATCCTTTTCATGGCGCAGCTGTGATGCGCAAATCAACGGCCTGTCCAATCTCGTTTGCATGTTTATCGGCAGAGTCGCCCATCAACTTTTCCAGATAGTCGACTCTGTCTCCCAATGTAGCATGCTGTTGCAAAGAGCCTTGGGAGGCAAAGAACTGCCAAAGCGGCTGACTGATGCTGAATTTGAGAAGTTCGAAGCTAAAGTCAAAGCATTTATGGGTCACCAGGGCTGAGCAAGAAGCTGTGATGATTCCCCAGCTTTTGATGGGCCTGCTCTACTTGGCTTTTCACCTGATGCCATACGAAGATATCGTTTTGATATCCTTTTGAAGCAAATGCCTAACTCTCAGGCTTTCAGTGGTGCATTACAGTGAGCTACTGACTTGCTTGAGCTCTCGAGCATGAGTCTCCTGAGTCTCAAAACGAGATAGTACTGACATCGCGTGACTGTTGGTTGGATGAAAGGTGGGCTCAACGTCGATTCCAGGCTTTGGACCAGCGAACCACCAAACTGCTGCTCCAAGAAAGCCAAACGGGCCTCTGCAATGAAGTCAAAAAAGATCTTCATTGAACGTCCTTGAACTGCCCACTAAGCTACTAAAATACAGGAGTGTCTTTTGGTGTTTGTCTCTTGCTTGGTCATTGTTCTCAGCAGTGAAGCACACAACTATGGGCATGGGATAATACACTCAATGCCACTGGATAATGAGCCTCGGTTTCCTTTTCTCTTCGATCATGTTCTTGTCCAAACCTTAGCTTGGCAAACCTCAATTTTGGCATGTAAAAACAATGTAAAATGTGAAAGAAACAAAATCTCGCCTACGGGCATTTCAGCACGTGGCTGTTTCTCGAGGCGCTCAAGCCTTTCCTGAATGCTCCCATGCAACTTCTCCATCCTGTCCAAACGTTTTAGCATGGAGAACCATTTTTTCCAGTCTCAAACATCTCAAACCAAACTGACTCTCCCTGGCAACTTTCACTCTGGCTTCGTGCTAGCGTTTATGTCAGTCCAGCCTGGTTGACATTTGTTCCTTCAACGTACCGTGCATGTCTTCGAGCTTGGAATGAGCTGCCTGGAGTCCCTGAAGCCGTGCGAACAAAGAACTTTCTCATACTTTCTCTGCTATTCTATCAAAGTGCCCACAGAATTAAAAGATGCTAAAGGCATCTAAAGGCAACAAACAACTGGTGGACAGCCTGCGAGTGCTTGTCCACTGATTCACCCAAGAACTTCTCCAAGAATTCGACACGGTCCCGCAGTGAATTTTGAGTTGCCTTGCCCAAAGCAGCCGAAGCGCACTTGAATTCTCTGCTTTCTACATCTTTCTAACCTCCGTCTCTAAGCATGTCATAAGGATGTCTAGGATGTCTAGGGTGCAGGCATCTGTCTCACATGCTGTGAGTCTTGAGTGCCTTCCAGCGATTCGCACAGTCTCCATGAATCCAGTCTGACATAGTGACATAGTCTGACCTTTTTCACTCTGAGGGCATGGCATTGTTTCCAAACGAGTGTGAGAAGATTGAATCTCCTTTGAATGTCTTTCAAAGGAGTCGCCAACCTTCGAACAATAGGTACGAGTCGGTACGAGTATCAGATTAGAGTCTATTAGAGCACCTATCCGAGGGTATCTGGATTGCACATCATCAGCCTTCCAAGGAAGACTTGATCACACCCTATCGAAAGTTCATAAAGCATCGTCTTTTCCCACCAGCTGTTCGATGTAGTTGAGGCGTTCAGCCACAGATGCATGATGGGCCTTGGAGGAGGGAAGCCGAAACATGGCGAAACAGTTTTCGGCCTTCCAGTCTGGATTGGATTGACCCTACATAATATCGTAAAGATTCGTAAAGTATCTAAAAGTCATACGTAATAAGAAGTGATTCACAACCTGCAGCGTGTCGTCGTCATAGTCTGCCTTTTATAACGTTTGCTTTCTCATGAAGGATACGTACGTCGCTAGAGTCAGAGATGCCTTGCCTCGCGGACTTTGCTTTCGTCAGCAAGCCTGGCGTGGGCTGATTTGGCCTGAGTGCCCCAGTTTGCATGGCTGACCACACATGAAAGAACTGAATCAAGATATTCACAAATGAAACATCGGCCTGAGTTCAGAAGACCAAACTGAGTCCATGCATGAATCACCCTAGCTTCACGTTTATTTGTTGTTTTTTCTGCAGTGTTTGCTTTTATCTCAAGAACCTGTCCTGGTCTGGGCGCGCCGCAGATTCGAGGTCTTGGGTATGACGTTCAACTGACTCGCCCAGCATGCGCTCCAGGTAGTCCATCCCTCGGATCAATCTGTGACGATTCCGACTAAAGTTGACCTTGTCAATCTTCCACAAAATTCGACAATCTCCATCATCTTAGACTATGTTAGATCTAAGTCAGGTGACGTTACATGATGTTAGAAATTAGGTGATGTTAGATGATGTTAGATGATGTTAGGTGATGTTAGCTGATGTTAGATGATGTTAGATGATGTTGGATGATGTTAGATGATGTTAGATGATGTTAGGTGATGTTAGCTGATGTTAGATGATGTTAGATGGTGTTAGAAATTAGGTGATGTTAGATGATGTTTAGATGATGTTGGATGATGTTAGATGATGTTAGATGATGTTGGATGATGTTAGATGATGTTAGATGATGTTGGATGATGTTAGATGATGTTAGATGATGTTAGATGATGTTAGATGATGTTATATGATGTTAGATGATGCTAGATGATGTTAGATGGTGTTAGATGATGTTATGGTCTCATGGAAGATCTTGGACAATTGGATGATCTTCGTCTTTCCTTTGATGTCATCCTACTTGCCTTGCTGACGGTGTTTTGGAACATTGAGGCCCGGTCGCTTTTGCGCCGATGCCATCATTTGCTCCTGTGACGTCAACTTAGCCTGGCACCATTGAAGTGCCAGTTCTGGCTCTGGCTATACAAGCTTGAACTTCCAATTGTGTGCAGAAATGTAGAAACATCAAATGAACCAAATACTTGGAAAGCCATCAAGACTTGCTTCTTCTTTGATCTTTTCTTGGCCTTCTGTTCTCTCATGTCATTCTGCAGAGGTGCGAGGTTGGACGAAAGGCCGATGCCCAGATTCTCTTTCAAAGCAGAAACCTGTCCGAATTCATGGGCGCTTGCCATTGCTCAACACTTGCCTATCAAGTTGGTGTTTGGTCTCATGGCGATTTGATGCAATTTGCACCAGCTGCATCATCCGGCTGTGCCTCACCCTGCAAGACCGCCAGGTCACGTATGAAAATTGCAGTTTGTTCCCGGATCAATCGAAGTTGCGACTGATGCAACTCCATCTCCTGCCAAGTTAGTGCAGTTAGTGATCAAAATGGATGAAACAACTTGCTGGATTCACCATGGTCCTTCTGATCCAGACTTTCGATTTCCTTCTCCCATTCTTCTTGACGTCGCCCGACTTCGTCCACACCGAGCCTGCCTCAACAGTATGGTTGAACGAATCAAATGTGCACTGAACACTGACGAGCGTTGCTGCGGTTTGAAAGCGGACTAGCGTACCAAATTGGACTTGTTTCTTGCCATACGTTGCCATACTTTGAAATACTAATGTCTTGCACGTTATTATGTTTGAGGGCGAAAACCTCCATTTCCAAGGGAACACCGTCCAGACTTCAAAATAGGATGAATTTATATGAATTTTAACTGCCACGCCGGGCCACGCCTGCCACCGTTCTATTCAAAAGATTTGGGAAGGCAAAGTGTTTTCGTGTCGCTGTGTCACTGTGTCCGTTTAAAGGCACCTTTGCACTTGCCTTAACAAACGTGCTTTACAAACATGTTTTTTGTAGTCGTGCCAAACAGATCCAAACAGATATTAATTCTCTTTCAACCCACCAGTCTACAAGCCTGTCAAAGAGCTCAACCGGTGTGCATTCCACACCAGGTAAGTTGCAAAGATTCTAGGTATTATATGGTATTATGAGGTACTGTGCGACTCTAATCCCTCAATCTCTTGCTGCTATGCACATCAACAAACAGAGATTCCCAGGCCATTGACGTATCATGTGAATTTATGCCATCTGTATCCATCTGTCACAGGGCCCTTGAGCACCGACCAAGACCAACAAAATTTATCAGCAGCATATCAGCAGCGACTTCAATATCAAGCAGCTGTATGAACGACTTCCCCAAAACGACTGAACAATCAAACAATCGGATCAAAATGGACATGGACCCGAAAAGCATCGACGAATCGACAAAGTCCACAAGTATAAAATCCCACCGCTGGAATGTAGCCTTGAACTACACAGGAATGTAGCCTTGAACTATGGCAGGAGTAAGTGTTATCCAAATACCAGACTATATAGGGTGAAAAACAAACGCCTCATGACCATCCATAAGTTGCAAACCAACTTGATCCATCTCCACAAAACTTATTCCCACCTGAACCGAAGGCGAGTCTGTCTCCAAAGCCCTCAGTTCAATCAAGCAGTTGGCAAGTGATTTGACATGACTCGACATCGACATTTGCCGGCAGCATCTGGCAGCATCTGGCAGCTGTTCCCAGTTTTGGGCTCCCATGGGCTCCCAGCTGTTCCAGATGTTCTCGCTGATGCAGGTGAAGACATTGGGACTTCAACCAGCGGAGCACTTGATGAATGTTCGCATTTGAGCAAAGCTGAGGAATGCCAAGTGGCTTTATCGGTTGAAATCCACCCCTGCAAAGTCTCTGAGGATAAAGTAAATCCGTTGCTGCAAAGCTGCCAAACATGCTGCACATATCCAGAAATGCTTGCCGTATCTCGTCGTGAAGCCTTTAACCTATTGAATTAAAAGATTCTTAGGATCTCCACGTGTATACTTGGCTAACTAAGGAGCAATCTATAGTTGCCTTGAATATCGTGAATGTAACTTGCTCCAACGTCTCAACCGTTCTGAGCAAGAGATACGAACCAACAAAAAGGAACCAACATGTTTGCGCTTCTGCTTTTTCGAACGTTCCCGCTGTACTTTGCTGGGATCATTCGCTGCTATCCATGCTATCCTCCACGTGCCAGAGTGTCTACTTACAATTCACGATTGCTTTCAAGAAATCCATAACACGCATCAGAAACGATTATAACATATTGTAACAGCGGTCCTCGTCATTGGCTACCCAATGATCCTCCTCATCCTCCTCCTCCTCATCATCATCGCTGACTCGAAGGCTTTCATCGCTGACTCGAAGGCTTTTTTCGTCCTCAAGTTTGTCAAAATATCTTTGGCAAATTTGATAAGCTAAATTCCTGGACAATGTTCATTTCCCGTTTCAAACATAGCTGTACATAACCCCCGATAAGCCTAGACATAGAAGCTCAAGATGGCTTTGCGACAACATTCGCATGTCTTCACAAATAGATTAGCAATACATAGCGGAGTCCCGGCACCCATTCCTCGAACTCTGCCTCTTTCTCCTTCTTGTCTTTCCTCTCTTTCTTGTCTTTGATCTGCCGGCCTTCTTTTCTCGCTTTTTTCTCCTTTTTCTTCTTCTTTTTCTTTTTCTTTTTCTTCTCCGCCTTCTTCTCTGCCTTGTAGGCTGCGACAACCTGTACAGGTTGCAAGCATGGAAATTGTATATATTGTCACTTGCAACTAGCAACGTAAGAAAAATCACTCGCAAAGAGAATGCACTCATTGAATTCTTCCTCTCTGTCTCATCGTATCTGTCATTCATCTTTCCAAACTTAATAGCCACAAGTTGCCAAACTTGTACCTTCTGCACGAAAGCGGCATCCATCCGCAAGTAGTCTTGCGGCCGTAGTTTGTACGTTAGGTCACCCTGCATTGTAACAGAGTCACACAGCAATCAAATGAAATCAAAAGTTTGTCTTGTCCAGCAACACATTTGCACGAGACCATGTGTATGTGGTACTTTGATATGTAATATGTACATGAATAATAAATTGAAGTACGTACATGTATTGCGTGTGTACAACTGTGTATGCGCCTATATGATCCTGGTCCTACTAGTATGCGGCATGCGTTTTTTTATTAAGACCTGAAATGAATTGTGCTGCTAGCAGTACTTCAACGCCTTGCCCTTGGCTCCCTTCAACTCTGAGAGGAAAAGGTCAGGTCGCCAGGCTGGGTCCTGCGAACAGACACCAAGTTAAATGGCGAGCACACCCATTTTTTGCAAACCAAACAAATAGCAGGAAGACGCCAAAAGGAACATACAACAATTATAACACATATTGGACCTGACTATTTATACCATTTTCCGAAATTTATCTACGGCAGCTCCTTGACCACATCACAATCAGTTGGATTCAGTATCAGGAGCGTCCTTCCCATTTGCAAGTCTTTCCAAGAGGACATCCTGCGAAGACTCTCACAGTAGCTCTCACAGCTCAAACATACACAAGCATTCAACTAGATTGCTCGCAGAAGCTTGAAGAGTTGCATCCTCCTTCTTCGAAGCATTTGCCTCTCGTTCCTTGAAAACCAAAAGATATTGAAAATTATTGAAAGATATTGCAAGCAGTTTCGCTTTTGAAATTGGTCGAATAGCAATCTGAGAACTGGGCGACTTCAAATTGGTTGATGACATTGCTAGTCACCTTGCTGCAGCATACATCAACCACTTGCCAAGCGCGAAGTTGGCAAATCACCCTGATTCGTTTTGAATTTCCACACAAAAAGGGCACCCGGCCTCTGCTCCTTCCGGCACTTTGGTGACTTGTCTGACCTGGCAACGAATGAAAAATAAACTAACACTGCAGCGAATGGCATGGAAACTTCAATGCCTTGTATATCAGCATCTAACAAGTTGATTGCTGTCCATGCATGTCTATGACATGATTAAGAGTTGAATCAGGTAGAATATGCTCCCCTTCGTCTTACCATAGTTTCACTGATGCTACTTGCTAAAACCAACATAATTCAAAGGTCCTGAAGATCATGATATGGACCGTTGAAGATTACATAGCCTTTGCAAGCTTATGTTTTTTGAAAAATTGCGTTTCGAAGAAGTGTCAGTATCCTCAACAATAAGCTTGAAAGAAACTAGGAGAATCAGAACAAACACTACCCGCTACCCCAAACCTCCCATAAGACTGTTATGTATGTATGATACCGGGGGATACCGGGGGTAGGTTGTGTCATCTTGAGGTTTTCAAACATGTCCAAAAATAATTCCAGTCACTAAGAGTGGCTGTTTCCCAGTCAAACATTTGGAACTGCACGGCGGGACTTCCTTGAAATTGTACTGCCCTTACTTAATTGTTCTTACACTGTCGGACTTGATAAGTCAGTTTGGGCATGGGCATTTTTCCCATGCAACTCTCAAACATTCAGCATTCACTGCTATGATACTCAGTTCCATGAAAAGGGAAACCATACAGTACCGTGTTTATCACCTGTCAGCAGTTAGTGGCAGTTCATCACGAGCACACGGGAACGTGTAGATGTCATAGTTGAAACAGCTGGCTTCAGCATTGCCACTTTGATCTCAAATCATTGTTCCGCTGTGAAATGCTGTGAATCATAGTGGACTGGTCCTTGTTCCTCTCAACTGCCTAATGGCCTAATGTTGGCCTGATATATCCTAATATACTAACTTGCTGTTTGACCTGTTTGACTTCTTGCGGATGTTGTCCTGGAAAGCTTCAGTTTCTCTTGCCAAAGCAAGTTCAGGCTAGACATGCACATATCCAAAGGTTATATACCATGTTCAATGTTCACAAACATTACTCAGAGTCAAGCAGACATATTATTGTGTGAGGTATCACTCTCGAGACGACTGCTGTTTGTTGTCCAAGAAATCTTTTGGGCTTCGCGGTTTGGCTCTTGATTGGTTCAGTGTGTGCAGCAGATATACTTCCTGAAGTTGTCTATTCAGTATGTGCTGCTTGAGTTGTGGGTCGGTTTGGAAGGTCTCCGTCACTGACATCACAAAGGCTAAGAGGCAAGGCCTACTCCAAGTGACTTGAAAAACCATGGAAGCAGCTGTGACCAGGGACAGGATGGACAGGAAAGCTAAGTCAGTGACAACGTCGCCTTTTCTGCTCTTCAATGAAATGGTGCAGCGGCTGCCTTTGTCCTGAGTCCCACAATCTCCAGCCTGCTGGATTGAGAATCATTGCTGCTACACTATCTACACTTCTACAAGTTGAAGTTCACTTGACCGTTTCCCAGAAAGTGTCCTGAATTTCTCTCTCCTTCCAGAGATCCACTTTCTCATAGGCCTAGCAGTTCAACAGCCCATGGATTGACGCTTACTCTCTCAGGAGCAGTGGGATACCTTGTTGCGGGAGAGTGCTTGACCCAAGACGGACTCCAACGCCATCGCTCTAAGAGTAGCGTCGTCACTCCAGGGCGCAGGAGTAGCCGAATTAATTGCAAAAAATCGTTCATTTTGAACTTCAAAGCAGCGGAAATGGATTTGGGGAAATGGACTTGGGAAGCTGAACCGCCAAAACCGGTAAAAAAAGGTTGGAAATGAATGTGCTGGTCTTTAAGGAACGCTCGAGATACACAACAGAGTCACATTTCATCCTGGTTCGGACAAGTATGGGTACTTGAAGCAGCTCGAGAATGCAACTTTTGCTGACTTCTGCGCATCCAATGAAATTGTGGATGCAAACTTCAAACTGCAGCTGAGTTAAATTGAGCTACCTACATCTACTCGACATACTGCATCTGTCCTCTCTGCTGAAATGGGGTGAAACCAACATTGGCGTGTCATGGCGTGGCTTTCCCTCAAGGAAAGACCAGTGAGCCGCTCCGATCCAGAAGTCCCTGCAAATCTTCATAGTAATCCTCATTTTCTAACCACTTGGGATCCACCTCAGTTGCAACTGAAAAAACTCTGCTGTGAACAGCGCAATCCTCCAAAGTGTTCAGTCAAGTTGCTTGAATTTGAAAATGAAGCTCAACTGGCCTGGGCATTGAGTGGAACTGTAGTACAGTCGCATACCCAGACTAGGAAGATTGGAAAGTCCAATGTTTGTATTACACTTTGCCTGGATTGCAAAATACATCAAGCTGCAAAAAACTGCAAGTGAAAGAGGCAGATTCGCCTACCAAAATTCACCATCTCAGAGATCTCGCTCTCTGCCTCCTCTGTGATTTGGGGCAGCCTCAAGAGGAGACGGGGCCAAAGGAGAGCAAGAGAGGAACGACCTGAAACAACTGAAATCCCCTGATCTTGTACTGTAAACAGTGCTTGCTTTTGCTGATTGTTGTCATTTCAGAGAGGACAAACTCGCAGAAAAATATCAATGGGATACTCAGCAGTGTGCAACACACACATTTGAGGTAGTTTGAGCGTCAAAACTAGCTGTGCCAAACAACTTCAAAGGACATGAAAGGCTTTGTGTAAACAAGAGCTGAGCACAGCTCCAGTATCGGACAATCCGTCCTTGGCCCTCTTTAGTGACAACCACCTGAGCCACCCAATTTACTCTCTGGATGCTGCTGACAAGGGAAGGTACTGGAAGGCAAAGAATCTTCAGTCCTTTTAGTGGTCTAGTCTATTCACGTCTAATGATTTTTGATCTCGGCCTCGCACCTTTTGGCCCAGCAAAAGCTTTCCATCTGGCTCCTGCCGCCAAACTGCGTTGACCACCTGCCACGCCATTGGTGTCTCAGTCCGAGACTTGTTGACAGAAATCTGAGTGCGTCACTGTCAAGTGATAGGGAACTTCTTCTCGCAAAACGCGGAACCTGGCCATCAGTGACTGAAGAACAACTGTGGAAACGGTCTCTGGTTCTTCAGATCCACTTCCTAGGAGTGAAATCCAGCATGAGTGTATCAAAAGCAGTTGTAAAGTTAATCACTTCAGAGTTCCAAATACTGCAACTCCTGACAAATGCTAGAGTTCAGTGTAATGGTTTCCTGTTTACACAAGAAAGAAAAAAGGCAGGGTTGCAGCTTCTCGCGAGTTATCTCAGATGCTACGACGCGAGCAGGGACATCGCTGATGTTCTCCAACGGGTAGATAGGACTGCCGCGAAACCGGCAAAATGAAACGCTGACAGTATGCCATTTCATACAATCGATGGCACGTTGAAACAAAAAGAGTGAATGCTGCGAGGCAGCTGCTGAAAGGCCTCTGCTTTGGAAGGTTCTCACAAAGCCACCTTGGCGATTTGCTTGATTTTGCTTGTATCAGGTGTAGATGAAGCCCAAACTTGCAAAATTGGTTCAAAAACATACAAAAACGCCAATGTTGCGACTGCACTTCAATACATATTCTAATTCTGGCATCTTCTCACAGTCTTGCCCTCCTGTCAGCTGTCCAAATATTTGGTTTGGTGCCTTTTGATCGGAGCCAATGACGCAGGATCTTTCAGAACCGATGTTGGCCAAAGGTTCTCCAAAATGTCCTGTGCTGCGAGTCTGCACACACGCTCCAAGTTGCACTCCAAGTTGCAAGCATCTGTGGGCGCACACACACACAAGCTTGATCGGACCTCTCCGTCTTTGGTTGTTCCCAAGTCGCTGGAGATCTGCTCCTGTTGATGCTCACACTCAAGACTTTGTGAAAATCGAACAATTGACAAGAGCTGCAAAGGAGGAATGCCAGTCTAAAGTGCATGTACATTGAAGGGCAGCAAAATATTTTACTGAAGACCCATCGTTGAGTGCTCCAGTACTGCATCCAACAACCCCCGCAACCCAAACCACTAGCTCCCTCATCTTGAGAGTGAACTCTTCCACATTGACGTCCATGTCTCTCAAAATGTCAACCTTGTTCAAGACAACGCTGACCTTGGGGGATGCGATCGCGAAATCACTGTACCAACATGTACTAACTCATCGCAAAGCCCGTGAAGATACTCCGAAGCATTTCGAAAGTGAAAAATGATGAGTGTGGACAGTGTGGGCCCTGCGATTCGAAGCTCCAGAGTTGCCCCTAGTGACTTAGTGACTTTGTGATTTAACATTGGCCCAGCCTTCATGTTTGCTCTCTTCAGTTTTCGCAGAAAGGAAAGCTCCTCTGCAAGTTCGGGGTGCAACCACCTCAAACAGACGCTATGACCGCTATGGACCGCTATGAAAGCAGATGATGTGAATTTTGTGAAGCTGTGGCACGTGGACCAGCATCTCATGACATTACATAGACAACTACATAATTGACAGAGACACTGCTGAGAGATGGACCAAGCATCTTCCACAGGAGCTCCAATTGCAACTCCGTCCAGCTCTGGACCTCAACATGATGTGCTTTAGCTGAAGTGGATCAAAACAAGATAGTAATGAGATGAACAAAATGGAGTTCTTGCAAAGTCACAAGCACAGTGGCACAAGGAGATGCCTTTTGCCTTCAATCTCCTAGCTGCTGGAAGTTAGATTGCCATTTCGTTGAAGCCCAAAACTAGCACCAGAAGTCTTGAATAAACATCCCCTAGCCAGTGGCTTCCTATGCATAGCAATGTTCCTGGGCGCATTCCTGGAAAGGTTAAACATGGAGCTAGAAAGGGAAGGTTGAGGAGAAAGCAAGGAGGCATGTAGTCGCCGTACATGTAGCACTTTGCAGCATCCAACACCCAGAAGACAGCATCAGAAGCCTGCAGTATGTAAATTCCGCAAACGGTTCAAACATGAAACTTGTTCAGTACAACATGCAGAAACTTCCGATTTCCCAAAGCAGGCCTTGGTTTGCTTCCACGCCGTCTTGACCATGGCCTTCGCAAATACAAAAACGCGCAGAGCCATTAAATTTATGTATTCCTCTAAAGAGCTGCAGCGTTCCAGCTGTCAACTCAGTCCTGCCTTGTGCATGCGGTTCTGTCGGAACAAGCGCTTGCGCTTATGCCTCCCATCTCCAGCGAAGAACACCCAATACTCAATTACCCCTTGAATCAGACTAGAGAGTCTCAAGCAATGAAGCCTGCCTGAAACCAAACTCGGAGACTGTCTGTCCAGTTTCCATGATACCAGCAGTGTCTGCAAATACCGCCTCAAAATCAGATCAAACAGCCAAACATGCTTTTGCGAGGAGTGAAAACCTACTGCAGCCAAGTGATGGGCCTGCCGCTCTTGTCCTATCTATAAGAACCTATCCCTACGTCGGGGTTGGAGAATGTCCCAGTGGTACGCAGCCTGTGTGGTTGGCGGCATGTCAGGTCTTGGGGCCAACAACGCCAAGCCTTGCAGGTCGGAGATTGGAATCCTGCAGATCCCCACAGCAAAAGGGCTGACAGTTTGAGACTCTGAGGTACTGACCTAGGATTCTTTGTCGTGTGGTTTGTGGCTTGGGAGAGACGATCGACACCTGCACCAAAGTCTGACCACTTGTTTTGCACCTTCAAAAAGGTTATCCCGTATAGTTATACAGTTATACCATGTTATATATAATAACAATGTTATGTATACTCCCTCTTCAAATAAATATGATACCAACGTTGAATCTCTTTTTGAGCCTTTTTCATGAATTGTCATGTGTTCTTTGTTCATTGTTTCAAGTCCTCAAACTGTGGTGCGACTCATGAGGCATAGGGTCTCTTAATCTCTATCTTTCACGACAGCGGCAAGTCCTTGATGCAGCCGAGAAAAACGTACTCGAACAGAGTTCTTCTCCCAAAGTGCACGATGTGTATGGCAGTACATAAGAGCAAGATGGAGCAAGAGTAACCAGGTGTTGTGCACTTCGTTCGTCTATTTGGAAAGGCACTGTTCCCAATTCTTAAACTTTCTGGGAGTCGAAGATAGACATGAACCGACTGTATTCCACGAGCATCAAACAGGTATCAAAACAAACAGCGACAGGGAAATGTGCTCACAGTATCACACTTTTTGACCGTGGAACAAGATTTCCCAAATTATCCCAACTATCTTGGACAGTGGTGATCCAGACCCAAGATGACCCAAGCCTTCATGCCGACAAGCTCGTTCACCAAAGATGATTTGCCAGAATTGGGAACGCCAAGCACAGCAACTTGCCCGCTGCGATCAATTTGCTGGATGTCTATGGCCTGCATCAGTGTATCAACATCTGTTGACAGATGCCAGCTGAAAATGTGTCTCCATCTTTTTCAACTGGCCTGGGGGTCTTCTTCCACAGGCTCAATGGCTCCTTCATCGACCTACAAAATGCATCAAAAGGCTATAAAACACTATCACTATGACCACTATGAGTCCAAGTAACTACAGAATACTTGCAAGATCTTGCAAGGCACTTGCAAGGAATCAATGATCAAGAATACTTCTTGTCCCTGCTCCCTGCCTCACTCGGCTGACTTTCTAGCGATTGAGGCTTTGAGGCCTGCCGGCAGAGTGATGAGATGATCACCGAACCTTTTGGTGACTGGAATTTAACTGTCGATTGGCTGGTCACACAAAAACATACGCAAAATACCAAAGAGATCCGCGGAGAATGATTGGTTGGCAGCAAAAGAAGCTGCCAGTACAGCAGGCTGAAAACAACATTCAATGTTTTGTTGGCTTGTTGTAATGAGGTCTCCTGTGTGACCTCTTCAGCCACAAAGGGAATCAGCGATTCAAGAGCCAAATTCCAAGAGCCAAGAGCATAGTCCGGGCCTCAAAATCTGAAAATAGGGTCCCCAAAAATCAACTGGTGAAAATCATCATGTTCCCATATTGCCACATATTTTCCAAATTAAAACAGCGATTTGGAGGGCATAGTTTCCATAAATATGTTTCCATGACTTCAAACCATCCAATCGTTGCCTCAAGATCTCGAAGCTCGCTGATCATGGCCTCTAGCTCGGTGCCTGCCACTTCACCAAGGCCTGCACGTTGCACACTGTGCACAGCGCGCCAGGCAAAGGGATCCACCAAAGCCATCAAATTAATAGGAACTTATAGAAACCATTAGGAACCAATTGTCATTAAGACCCAATAAGATCAGTTCAACATTAGTTAAACCATGTTAAACCACTCTAAATCAGTCTCAATTCGAGTAGATTCAAGAGTATCTCATATCCAATCCCTAGTTTTGCAGTACTTTTAATTAGAAAAGAACATCCTCACCACAACGCAAGGCCTGAAGCATCATCATCCAAGGCGTCCCTGGCGCCATTGGAACGACAGTGGAAGGAAGTTCTGGGGGGTCATCTACCGTTGTTTCTGGGCACATGTTTCTAAACCTTGGGAACTTGGGGCTGGAATTTTCCCAATTTCAAACCATGACAAAACCATCTCACGCAGTGTGGCGACTCCGTGCCAGCCTTCCAAATGCTTTGGCCATGCGAACGGATGCTTCAGGTTGCCTGCCTCAGTCCGTGAAGTCCAGCTGTCGCTGTGTCTCCGTTGAATTGCCAACTTAGCTTTTCACTCTTGCGCCATCTTGACCTTGCAACTTTGGCACCATTTGAATTCATTCACTTGGCTTCATTCGCTTCATTAAGCGTAACAGATCCCAAGAATGTCTGCAAATGTTTCGCCCGGCTCCGTTCCATATTTTGCCCGCTTTCTGCAGTTATGATGGTTTGTGCTGGACTTTACTCAAAGAAATTGGCGGATTATCTAGTTGCAGCACCTTCACATAGCTTTGATCTTGGACTCACATTGCTCTTGACTCTGAACCTGAGACTGCTGCGCAATGACTGACAAACCAAGCGCGGTCTGCGGAATGCATCCACCCACGCGATGAGCAGCAACTCCTGGTCTTGCATGCCTCGATTCAAGGCAGAGTTTGAGACTTGTGAAGCTGTCAAAGCAAGGGTTCTGGGGCCGAAATGATAAATCCATGTGGTCCATAGTCTGTTCTATTTTCTACCTCTTGCCCTGACCTTTCACTGGTCTTCAAGTTTCCCATCCACACAAATCCGAAGATTGGTAGTGCATATATATATATGTATATATATATATATACATATATATATATGTGTAGGTTGCATCGGTTGGTGGTCTCTCAAGCCGCACCAGCTGAATCCAATAAGCGGCTGGCATCGGAAAGGTCAATGCCCCAGCCGTACATCTGTTGCCAGGTGCCACTGGCATCCATCTTGGTCCAGGAATGTCCATTGCAATACAGTGAAGGGAGAACGAAGTGCTTCTGGGCTTGGGAACACTTGACTGTTTTCACCTGAAAGTCACGTTTCAAAAGAGAGTTGAGACATGCTGCAAGAAAACAATAAATGCTTACGATTGTACTTGTTTGAAGCGACTAATGCTTGCTGAACATGTTTGGATGTTGCCTGAATCTCTTCCTCTTGTGAACACAAAGTTTCGACACATTTGGTGGTCTAGTGACTCTAGCGACTCTAGTGACTCTAGTGACTGGTTGAGGTTCTTCGACAGCTGCATTGACTCAAAGCTTTGGAGCCAGCTGAAAGGTGGGCAACCAGCTGCTAGTGGGGTCTAAACGTGTGCAACCAGGTCGCTTTGGTTGGCTGGAAACTGGAAACATATTATGCAAGGAACCGTGCCAGGTTGAGTGGACTAACACTGAAACAAACTTGCCCTAAAACATAAGAAACAAATCATCAAACAAGAATGGTAGAGTTCCAAAGAAGCTCCTTGAAGTCTTGTATCAGCTCACCAAGAGTCTTACTGTCAACTGTCTTTCCGCTAACATCCAAAGATTTTGGGCACTACTACTTTGGCTTCAGCAGCTTCAGAGATTTTGCGTGGAGCAGGGCACTGTGCGGTCTCAGTCTCTTTGGACTGGAAGGAAAAACTTCATGCCTGGAGCTTCAAGATCTGAAAGTGCTTGCACCTTCCAAAGCTTACGGATCAAGAACACTCTCCTGGTTACATCCTGCAGCAGAATCTGGAAATCTCCTCCCTGCGTTGAACCCATCACTGCCTTTGTATTTACGAGGAAAAAAAACATCCCAAGTTCAGCCTCGCGCCTCTGCCCAAGCTAACTACCACTTCGATCGGCGTCCTGAGTATGACATGAACCTCCTACAATGCTACAAGGTTCCGACTTGTTCTTCATCGTTTGTGTGCTTTGCACAGATTTGAGATTCGTTCAACAAAGTGCAACAGTGCTTAAAATGAGCCTCCACCAAACTTTGCAGCTGCTTGATCCTCACTCATGAAGTATCCTGTTCAAGCCGGCATGGGCTCCATATGCTCCGGGTCTTCATGAAGTGAATGAAGCTTGACTCATCACAGCGGAGCCTTGTTCAAACCATCGTCCAACTTGTTGAGCTACGCTCAGCTCAGGATCCTTGCGTTTTAGCCAATCCAAATGACGGAGGACATGTCCACGACAAAGTGCATTGGCGGCTGCCAATCAATGCAGCTGAGGCGTGCTCCCAATCATTGCTTGGAGGTGCATCATTTTGCACCTCAGATTCCAAACAATTTCGAGCCCAGGGAGATAACACGTATGAATTGGAAACGGGATCGTTAGTGCCCAACTTTTACCACGGCAGCGCGGTATGACTCAAGGGCCCTAAAGCCAAATGTCAACGGGGGCATGTGATCACTTGGCTATACAAAATATACATTAGACAGGTCAAACTCACACTCAACCTGTTCTTCAAGGATCACATGATGCTAGTGAAAAAGTTGGCTCTAAGGCTTCTTCTGTACACGGTAAATGCACTCCTTCAAGACGCGGATAATGAGGTCCGGGCGCATGCTCTTGGTCAGAGCATCCGAGACCATAGTTCCTGTAGCAATCCAGGTAACAATGTCTCCTCCGCCATGATGCATATCCCAGGTCCTCCGGCCGTCTTGCCAAAGTGACTCATGAATCGACTGCAACTCAATGCCGAGTCGTTTGTCTGCGACCCTGCCGAGTACCTCATTCGCAAGATGGTCTGTTAGAGACCTGCAGTCTGAAAGCATCAGTTGTGGAATACAGCTGCGGCTGTCATCCAACCATGTTTTCATCGAGTCAAGTTGGCCCATCAGTTCGGCCAATGCTCCACGTAGCTTGTCACCGCTCTCTTGTCCAGCCTGCAGTGAATAAGCCTCGCATTGAAGAGTGCTGCGGCATACTCGCCGAATTGTATTTGATGCAAATCCCAATGGCATCACCCTGTAGGATGTAGTCTTGGGGTCTTTGATCTCATTGATGTCTCCAAGAAAATGGAAACGACCTTGTTGTGATTTGTAATTCTTCTCATTTGAAAATGAAGCATCTGTCACTGTAATGATACCAATCTCTCCCCAAGTTAAATGACCACCTGGGAAAATAAGCTTGTTATCAATGCCTTGATGTGCCAGCTGTACCACGGCATTTGCGTCGTGCAAAATGGCAACTGTTGCTCCAGAAATACTGGACTGTAGGCGGCTCACACGATAACCCAAATCGGGTCTAGTCTGCCTTGCCACCCATGCCAATGATCCCGTTACAGATCGTAATCGGGTCACATCATCCTTACCCAACGGCTCGGACGCTGATCTTCCTGGCGCGATCTTGATCGGCTTGATGCGACGGGTGTTGTCGCAAGTGTCTTGTGTGATTGTTCTATCTGCAGTACGCTCACATTGCTTGCCACAATAGCGAAACGAATTTGATTCACTTGATCCCAAGTTGAACTTCTCCAAGAAGCTGTCGATCACTGACTTTCCCTCAGGAATGTATGCGTACAAGATGTCATCCACATGTGTCGCCATAAGTGCAACGCAATCTTTGTCGGTTCCTGGAAGGAAATACAATCCTGGGTAAAACTTGGATTGTTTCAAGCCACTGGATCGGGCATCTCCGTCCAACCTCAACCAAAAACCTCGACCGCTGTCAGTTAATCCATATATAGGCGCCCGCACAAGGAAAAACACCTCTGGATCAACTCCCGGGAGACCTCCTCGGGGTTGTCTCATAATGAGAACTCTATCAAGAGGACGACCTTGGAAATATGCGGATGCGACGTCCGCACTGTGCAATTGTGCGCCCTGGATCGCCGCCCAACAGCAAAGAATGTTGTGAGCTTCCGTATCTGCTGTAGGACTGTCTGATCTCAAACCTTCACTGACTTCGAAATTGCCGCATGATACCAACCGGCTCTTGAACTTTGGCATATATTCTTGATCTGTTCTTCCTTTCATAAATTGATTCTTATCAACATCAACCCACTTGCTGGGAATACATTGATGTCCTTCAGCAATCAACCTCTCAGCATCTTCTTTTGAAATTTCAACAACAGCAGCGAACTCAAGGAACTTGCTCCACTCCTTGGTTCTGGCATCCATGATGTTCTTCTGTACATCAGGTGACGCTGATTCATAGTGGATTGATTTCAACACTTTCTTACCTTGCTCTTCGTCCTCAGGGACTTCAACTTCCTGGGACAAAAATGATGCAAACAATGCTCGTGCTTCTTGTTGTTCTTCAGGACTTCGTTCTGAGTCTCTCTCACGAGCTCTTTCAAGATGTGTTCGCAATTGATGTGGTAAGTCATCCAAAAGTTCCCTTCGCAATGGCCAAGATGATGCTGACGGCGAGGATAGTGGTCCCAAAACGGAGCCACTTGGAGTAGAATCAGGCACAAAGGAGTCTCTCCGAGATGGCACAAGTGATGAGCCTCTCTCCGACTCAGGTTGTAGGTGAGACTCTACTCGAGGTCTCACATTGCGTTCATGATCTCCATCTCCTGGACGTGGTCTTTCAACTCTTCTCTCTGGAGTTCTACTTTGCGAAAAGATGTCTTCTTCCATAGGACCGGTGTCTTCCTCCTCTTCACCCTCTTCAAAGAAACCGGGTCGTATGTCCCATTCATCTTCAGGTACTTCTGGTATAGGAGGGAGTGCTGAATCCACATTGCCTTCAGGGACAACTTCAACATCGTCTGCTTGTCCTGGACCTTCACGAACAACTTCAACCTCATCTGCTTGCCTTGCATCAAGAAACGCTTGTTGACCTGTATCATTGATGATCTTGTATGGAATCACAGGTTCACCGCTCAACACTGATTGAGCAAGAGCTTCAGAAGGAGAAGCAATGCGTATGTTGTGAGAAGCTACAAGTACTGGAACGTTACCACATAGTAACCATATGTTCTTCTGGTTCTCGTGTCCGATCACACGACATGTTGGTGACCAGGACGTTCCTCCTCGCTGATTGTCTCGTCTGAAAGTGACGAGATCACCAATGTTGAACTCACGGTCAAACACACTGGCATTGCGTGTCAACGCTCGTTGAACTCTTCTTGAACAATCAAGATGAACAAAAGCCTTTTGTGCCTCAATCCTGGCCAAATGTTGTAATGCAAAAATTGATGAAGGATCATGTCGGGCCTGAATAGCTCCGAGCTGTGCATGGTCTTCCTCAGACATGAGTGAAGCTACACCACGTGGAGCTCGACCGAGCACCCACTGAGATGGAGAAAATCCTCCAACACGTGCAGAGTCGTTCTTCACACTGAGCACTTGTGTGATGCACGACTCAACCTGTTCTTTGGTACAAGCCCCAACTTCTGTACACACTCGCCTGAAAAGAGCTTTCAACAAACCACCATGCCTCTCTACTCGGCCCAATGATTCCGGGCTCTCAAGGGGCACATGGTGCACTTGAATGTTGTGTTCATCCATGTACTGTTGCAAGACACCACGATTGTGCAATCCACGGTCACACATGATAGCAACAGGATGTCCTGCCCAACTGAACCAACGTTTGATGAGTGCGTCCAAACAGGATCGCGAAGAAGCTTGACCTGCTCCAACCTTCACGACTTCAGCCTGTTGAAAACAAGTACCAATGCAAACCATGTTGAGAACTTGATACTTCTGCCCAGTTACATCTGTCAACTCCAGTACATCAATCCCCAAAGTATGGTTGAATGTATAATCACTTGGAAGCGTGACTTTGTGAGTGGGTTTCTTTGCTGATGTTTTCTCACATGTTTCACATCTATGCAACTTTACTGCATCAACAAACTCCTTGCTCACCTTTGCAGCACGCACCAAATTGACCATCACCGTCTTGGGGACATGTCCAAAAGCCCTGTGCAACCTACGCACAGCAATCCTGACACGCTGGGGAAGTTTACGCCAAGACCTACGTCTTTCTGTTTCATCCTCTGGCAAACCAGGGATATCAACCTCATCCAAAAGAGTCTCTTCATGTGTCAGGTCCTCAACCGGATCCTGCAATGCAACATCTTCTGGGCCATCGACTGCATCCCAGTTCCCATCATGTTCCAGAGCCTCTTCGATGATCTCTGCTGGAAAGGCAACGCTCATCTGCTCCTCCAATTCACGTTCAAGTGACCAATCACGAATCCATTGACAAAACTCCCAATTCAAAACGTCATCCAATTGTCGATACATAGACCAGTCTTGAAAACCTTGAATGAGTTCATCATCATTTGACACAAAAGCAAGACCAACTTCATTGATGTATGGAATCTGTGGTGTTTTGAATGATTCCCATCGTTCAGTGTGTGCGACATCAACAATGAGAAACCTACACCCTGTGGCATCACAATACTGTTCCAACTCAAATACAAGATCCCCATGACACAGTGGATAATGTTCTGACTTGTATTCAATTGCAACAATGATCAATGTGCAACCTTCGAACATGTCTTTCCAACCGTGTTGCTCAGCATCACCGTCCAAGTACGCAGCATTCATGCCAACGTCATAGGTGTGCTCGAAAAAATCCTGGAAAAGAGTCGGATGTGACGTGATGATTGCAACCCCTGAAGTACCATTGGAAACTTGAGGCTGCATCCCAAGACTGGACTGCATTACCCGGTCATGGTTGTTGAGATTGTTGATACCTTCCAACACCATCTTCCTGTGTTTCTTGCTCATGGTCCTCCTCTCATCAGGATGGACTGTCAAATCAACGTTGGAATCAAGACGTACAGCCATGAAACCAGTGGGAGAATACTCATAGTCATATTCATATGAATCGGAATCATATTGTTCCAACTTGGGCGTCAAGACCTTTGGCTGGGGCTTCGACTTCACTGCATACATTCTTTTGGGTTCTGAGGATTTCATCTCAACTTTTGGATTCAAAGACTTTTCAAAATCATCCCTTATATCCCTCAGTTTCTTGTTGGGGGTCAACCTGACACGAACGCTCATGTATGCTCCCCTCCCGGAGTCATCGAACACCCCAGGTGGGTGGTGAAACACAATCACATCGATCCACGAGTTGCTCAAACGCACTGTTGCCCTGCTATCAACGTTGTCTTCAATGAGTTCCCAGTCGCCTCCACTGCGAGGTCGACACCATGTAGATCGCTTCCAGTGCTTGATGCCATTCGAGACCTTGACAATCCGATTTGGCCGGATATGATCTCGAATCAGGACGTTCATGCGAACTCCTTCCACCAGTGGGTCTTCTCCATCTTTGCAAATCCAAAAGAGCCGATCCCTGTTACCCTCACGGATGCAAAAAGACACAACTTCGCTAAGGAGCTCGCCGTCCAATGTCTTCACTGACACGTTCTTGTTGTCAAACGGTCCATCTGATGCCAAATTGTTTCGGATCAGTCGCTCAAGTTCATCGCGATCATTGGGAGGCTCTCGAGATCGTTGTGGCAACGTTGAAGTTCGAGGTCCATCCATGGCCCCTGAAGATCGGGATCCGTCATCGGTCCCTGGCACGTCCGAAATGTGCGGTGGAGGATGATCTGGGCTCCTGGGAGCTGGCCTCGCAGATAGTGGCCTCGGCGATGGACTTCTTCCCCTGGATGCTTGTGCATGTCTCCAAGGAGGTAACTTGCGACGAAAACTTGGTGATCTTCTGCGCCTTGCGGGTGGCGACGGTGGCGTCGGCAATCTCCGTCGACGCAATGGGATCCTTGAGACTATGAGCAAAGTAGACAGGTTCATCCAACATCTCAACAACATCCTCCAGTTCGTCACACAGCAGGAAGCCGACAGTAAGGTGCTGGTGGACTTGGAGTGCAAGTCAGGTCGCCACAGGTCAGTGGGACAAGGATTTGCTGCCTACAGGTGTCTCAAGGTCCTTGGTTATGACGTTGTTCTCATTCATGCATCATCTTGGATGTGGGGAGAGATGCGTTGTGGTGGAGTTTGTAATATGAATTGGAAACGGGATCGTTAGTGCCCAACTTTTACCACGGCAGCGCGGTATGACTCAAGGGCCCTAAAGCCAAATGTCAACGGGGGCATGTGATCACTTGGCTATACAAAATATACATTAGACAGGTCAAACTCACACACGTGACACGTTGCATGAAGAGAGACTCAGAAATACACAAATACATACAAATACACAAGCATCTGTCATGGGACAAGAATGGACAAGAGTCGACACGCCAGAAACAGCCTACGAAACTGACCTCCTCGTTGACGGTATTGTTCTTGGGGAAGCAGTAGCCACTCAACGGACAAACTAGGAAGCAGTCATCTGGAGATGCCACCTCGGCTTTGAGTTGAAAACACTACAACGCACTGCCAAATGAAAAAGATGCAATTAGCTTATATTATATTATATTTGTTTTGCTACAATAGTTTTGGAGAATATCTGACACAGCAGCAGGGGTGTTTCCTACACAGCCCATGCTTTGCGCTTTGCTTTTAAAGATTTTAAAATGGAGAGTTCAACAAGTAGAAAAACAGAACCTGAGAAGGGAGGAACGAAAGCCAGGGGAGTGCGGAAGAGGTATGAGAGGAGGAGTGAGGATAGAGGAAGATAGAGTAGATATGGAAGAGGAGGTGCAAGGGGAACACGAACAAGTCTCTCATCTCTATCACCGGATGAGTGCCGTGTGAGTTGACTTATGGCACGCACCAGCTGCAGCAGAGAGCCTCCTCACTGCATATTTTCGTCACCCCTTTCCAAAGTTTCCTAATTTCACATCCTATACTGAAAAAAGTTCCTTCTCCATACCTATTGTATCTCCATTCAAGGACCCTTACGGGCGAAATTCCCTCCAGGGGACCACGAGAAATCTGTTTCAGACAACCATATTCACACGCCCTTGAGCCTTGTTGCCAGGACACGCAACAGGCACAGGGTACATTCGGAATACACTGATGCACAGCTCCGCTCGCCTTGCAGGCGCTCCATGCTCAATTGGAACGCAGTCGTATCAGGTTCCTCTCTGTCCATCTTGACATCTTGTGTTCTTTTAATCCTAAACAACATGGGTGTGTGTTGCTACTCTACAACAAAACTTCTGCAGAAGCGACGCCTCACAAAGAAAAGCATCGCAGTCATCGAGCTTCAGTCGATGGACCCTTGGGAGAGAGCACACAGCACACTGCACAAAAAGCAAAGAATAATGGTAAACTGATAATGATAAACTAATAACAGAAACTAATATGAATTGGAAACGGGATCGTCAAATGCCCAACTTTTACCACGGCAGCGCGGTATGACTCAAGGGCCCTAAAGCCAAATGTCAACGGGGGCATGTGATCACTTGGCTATACAAAATATACATTAGACAGGTCAAACTCACACTCAACCTGTTCTTCAAGGATCACATGATGCTAGTGAAAAAGTTGGCTCTAAGGCTTCTTCTGTACACGGTAAATGCACTCCTTCAAGACGCGGATAATGAGGTCCGGGCAAGATGGTCTGTTAAAGACCTGCAGTCTGAAAGCATCAGTTGTGGAATACAGCTGCGGCTGTCATCCAACCATGTTTTCATCGAGTCAAGTTGGCCCATCAGTTCGGCCAATGCTCCACGTAGCTTGTCACCGCTCTCTTGTCCAGCCTGCAGTGAGTAAGCCTCGCATTGAAGAGTGCTGCGGCATACTCGCCGAATTGTATTTGATGCAAATCCCAATGGCATCACCCTGTAGGATGTAGTCTTGGGGTCTTTGATCTCATTGATGTCTCCAAGAAAATGGAAACGTCCTTGTTGTGATTTGTAGTTCTTCTCGTTTGAAAATGAAGCATCTGTTACTGTAATGATACCAACCTCTCCCCAGGTTAGATGTCCACCTGGAAAAATGAGCTTGTTCTCAATGCCTTGTTGTGCCAGCTGTACTACGGCATTTGCGTCGTGCAAAATAGCAACTGTCGCTCCAGAAATACTGGACTGTAGGCGGCTCACACGATAACCCAAATCGGGTCTAGTCTGTCTTGCCACCCATGCCAATGATCCCGTTACAGACCGTAATCGGGTCACATCATCCTTACCCAACGGCTCGGACGCTGATCTTCCTGGCGCGATCTTGATCGGCTTGATGCGACGGGTGTTGTCACAAGTGTCTTGTGTGATTGTTCCATCTGCAGTACGCTCAAATTGCTTGCCACAATAGCGAACGAATTTGATTCACTTGATCCCAAGTTGAACTTCTCCAAGAAGCTGTCGATCACTGACTTTCCCTCAGGAATGTATGCGTACAAGATGTCATCCACATGTGTCGCCATAAGTGCAACGCAATCTTTGTCGGTTCCTGGAAGGAAATACAATCCTGGGTAAGACTTGGATTGTTTCAAGCCACTGGATCGGGCATCTCCGTCCAACCTCAACCAAAAACCTCGACCGCTGTCAGTCAATCCATATATAGGCACCCGCACAAGGAAAAACACCTCTGGATCAACTCCCGGGAGACCTCCTCGGGGTTGTCTCATAATGAGAACTCTATCAAGAGGACGACCTTGGAAATATGCGGATGCGACGTCCGCACTGTGCAATTGTGCGCCCTGGATCGCCGCCCAACAGCAAAGAATGTTGTGAGCTTCCGAATCTGCTGTAGGACTGTCTGATCTCAAACCTTCACTGACTTCGAAATTGCCGCATGATACCAACCGGCTCTTGAACTTTGGCACATATTCTTGATCTGATCTTCCTTTCATGAACTGATTCTTGTCGACATCAACCCACTTGCTAGGAATACATTGATGTCCTTCAGCAATCAACCTCTCAGCATCTTCTTTTGAGATCTCAACAACAGCAGCGAACTCAAGGAACTTGCTCCACTCCTTGGTTCTGGCATCCATGATGTTCTTCTGTACATCAGGTGACGCTGATTCATAGTGGATTGATTTCAACACTTTCTTACCTTGCTCTTCGTCCTCAGGGACTTCAACTTCCTGGGACAAAAATGATGCAAACAATGCTCGTGCTTCTTGTTGTTCTTCAGGACTTCGTTCTGAGTCTCTCTCACGAGCTCTTTCAAGATGTGTTCGCAATTGATGAGGCAAGTCATTCAAAAGTTCTCTTCGTAATGGCCAAGATGATGCTGACGGCGAGGATAGTGATCCCAAAACGGAGCCACTTGGAGTAAGATCAGGCACAAAGGAGTCTCTTCGAGATGGCACAAGTGATGAGCCTCTCTCCGACTCAGGTTGTAACTGAGACTCTACTCGAGGTCTCACGTTGCGTTCATGACCTCCATCTCCTGGATGTGGTCTTTCAACTCTTCTCTCTGGGGTTCTACTCTGTGAGAAGATGTCTTCTTCCATTGGACCTGTATCTTCCTCCTCATCATCTTCTTCAAAGAAACCGGGCCGTATATCCCATTCATCTTCAGATACTTCTGGTATAGGAGGGAGTGCTGAATCCACATTGCCTTCATGGACAACCTCAACATCATCTGCTTGTCCTGGACCATCACGAACAACTTCAACCTCATCTGATTGTCTTGCATCAAGAAACGCTTGTTGACCTGTATCATTGATGATCTTGTATGGAATCACAGGTTCACCATTCAACACTGATTGAGCAAGAGCCTCAGAAGGAGAAGCAATGCGTATGTTATGAGAAGCTACAAGTACTGGAACGTTACCACATAGCAACCATATGTTCTTCTGGTTCTCGTGTCCGATCACACGACATGTTGGTGACCAGGACGTTCCTCCTCTCTGATTGTCTCGTCTGAAAGTGACAAGATCACCAATGTTGAACTCACGGTCAAACACACTGGCATTGCGTGTCAACGCTCTCTGAACTCTTCTTGAACAATCAAGGTGAACAAAAGCCTTTTGTGCCTCAATCCTGGCCAAATGTTGTAATGCAAAAATTGATGAAGGATCATGTCGGGCCTGAATGGCTCCGAGCTGTGCATGGTCTTCCTCAGACATGAGTGAAGCTACACCACGTGGAGCTCGACCAAGCACCCACTGAGATGGAGAAAAGCCTCCAACACGTGCAGAGTCGTTCTTCACACTGAGCACTTGTGTGATGCACGACTCAACCTGTTCTTTGGTACAAGCCCCAACTTCTGTACACACTCGCCTGAAAAGAGCTTTCAACAAACCACCATGCCTCTCTACTCGGCCCAATGATTCCGGGCTCTCAAGGGGCACATGGTGCACTTGAATGTTATGTTCATCCATGTATTGTTGTAAGACACCACGATTGTGCAAACCACGGTCACACATGATAGCAACAGGATGTCCTGCCCAACTGAACCAACGTTTGATAAGTGCGTCCAAACAGGATCGCGAAGAAGCTTGACCTGCTCCAACCTTCACAACTTCAGCCTGTTGAAAACAAGTGCCAATGCAAACCATGTTGAGAACTTGATACTTCTGCCCAGTTACATCTGTCAGCTCCAGTACATCAATCCCCAAAGTATGGTTGAATGCATAATCACTTGGAAGCGTGACTTTGTGAGTGGGTTTCTTTGCTGATGTTTTCTCACATGTTTCACATCTATGCAACTTCACTGCATCAACAAACTCCTTACTCACCTTTGCAGCACGCACCAAATTGACCATCACCGACTTGGGGACGTGTCCAAAAGCCCTGTGCAACCTACGCACAGCAATCCTGACACGCTGGGGAAGTTTGCGCCAAGACCTACGCCTTTCTGTTTCATCCTCTGGCAATCCAGGGATATCAACATCATCCAAAAGGGTCTCTTCATGTGTCAGGTCCTCAACTGGATCCTGCAATGCAACATCTTCTGGGCCATCGACTGCATCCCAGTTCCCACCATGTTCCTGAGCCTCTTCGATGATCTCTGCTGGAAAGGCAACGCTCATCTGCTCCTCCAATTCACGTTCAAGTGACCAATCACGAATCCATTGACAAAACTCCCAATTCAAAACGTCATCCAATTGTCGATACATAGACCAGTCCTGAAAACCTTGAATGAGTTCATCATCATTTGACACAAAAGCAAGACCAACTTCATTGATGTATGGTATCTGTGGTGTTTTGAATGATTCCCATCGTTCAGTGTGTGCGACATCAACAATGAGAAACCTACACCCTGTGGCATCACAATACTGTTCCAACTCAAACACAAGATCCCCATGACACAGTGGATAATGTTCTGACTTGTATTCAATTGCAACAATGACCAATGTGCAACCTTCGAACATGTCTTTCCAACCGTGTTGCTCAGCATCACCGTCCAAGTAGGCAGCATTCATGCCAACGTCATAGGTGTGCTCGAAAAAATCCTGGAAAAGAGTCGGATGTGACGTGATGATTGCAACCCCTGAAGTACCATT